CAAATTGCGCCCCCCCCCCCCAGCGTATCCTGGTTTTCAAGTACCCCAGCGGGGATAGGGTTAACGAATGGTTGATTGTTTGTTATGTAAGACTTCGAAGATGATCTACAAAACGGATGAGAACATTCCCCATCTCTATTTACATACCTCATTTTCTCTTTTTGCATAAATCCGCTAATCATTTTATAAAGAAATCAGAGACCAGAATTGAAAATAATAAATTTTAAGATAAAAATAGATTGATATTTTCACATTAGTTTAGCTCAAACTAAAGATACTGCTGTGAATAAAAAAAATGACACTTTATAAATGGAGGGTCAATTTAAATAACTTTAATAATCTTATAAAAATATTACTTTTCAGATCAAATAAAATTTGAATCATGGCAACTCTTCATTTAGGGTTTAAAAACAGGGAGCAGGGAGGAGGGGGAACATTATATTTAGAGGTATTTTTCATAAAAACAAAATTAAATTGTAAAAAATCTTATTTAGAAATGAGATAAAAAAATTTAAATATAGAAAATTTTATTTCAAATTGAGATAAAAATGAATAAAAATTTTATTTAGAAATGAAATGAAAAAGATGAAAATATAAAAAAAATCTTATATAGAAATGAAATGAAAAAAAAATGAAAATACAAATCAATGAAATTTATAGGCTTTTAGGGCCCTTCGCGGTTTTAGTAATATTTTTTCGCGTATTTTTAAAATATTCAAAAAAACAAAACTTTTAGACACACATTTTATAATTTTGAGCATCCATTTACATGGGGTCATGTGCACACAAAGTTTGGGCCCGATTGGTTAAGCCGTTTTGACGTTTATTGTAGATAACTCAAAACGTATTGGAATGAGGCTGTTCAAATTTGTTGACTTTTCTAACTTACACAACCCCTTAACTTTAGGCTGAAAGCAGGGCTTTTATGTCTACTGCCTAAGTTTATCAGGCATAATGCCTGAATGCCCTATTAAACCTTTAATTGACTTTTTATTGCTTTTTGGAAAGCCTTAAACAAAGGAAAGCAAAATGTTATAGATTTGTATAACAATAAGGAAGTAGAATGACGTCCTCAGAATTGGAATTAAAGTAATTTGGAGATGATTAATTCATTATACTGGCCTTCTATTCTGTGTTTCCTGGGTAAACTGCTTAAAATAAATAAATTAAATATATCCTTGAGTTGTCCAGTATAAAAAACTATTGACAATATTCATAAGTGAATGCTAAGATAACAGTATAAAGATCAGTATCAAATTGTAGATGGAAATAATTTTAATTTTTTAATCCACTTTCTAGGTCACTTGAAACCTCAACCATCATCAACATCGCTAAAGGTTAAATTTTATTTCTAGATACTGAACAAATTTACTTGCAAACAGTTATGACCAAAAATTAAATAGGCCCCTTTTTAATCGAAACCACCATTTGAGACCGCTGTGTAGCTTTTTAGTTCTGAAATGTTCCCAGAGGTTGAACCTTTTGTGTGGAGTATCCTTAATCTCGAACGCTCGATCTCAATTCTCAATATGCAGTATTCAATTTGGAAATTTTTCAAGTTTTAAAGATTAATGCTTGATTGCTTAGTTCTAGTTATCCCACGGGATATAGTCCAGAAATTAAGTTAAGCTGGTAACTTTTGTATTGGTTAAACTCTTAACCTGATTCCATTGATCTTGATATCCAATATGTGCACTTTTAATTTGAGAATCAATTCTTCAACTTTTCATTCTCCATGTGCAGGATATCGAAAACAGATTAAATCAATTTGAAGGTTACCAAAAGATAGAGATAAAACATTGATTTTGATATTCACAATACAAGGGTTCCCGCCATTTTTACAGAAAATGGAAAAGGTCACCAAATTTCCCCATCCCATTCCCGGCCGTTTATGGTTTTTACGCAAAAACGACCAATACAGGCATTTAAAAAGACCTAGGATTATTTTGGAAATACCATCTTTCCCCAGAGCCCGCGATTTAAAAACTTCGGCCAGAGCCATAATTCATAAAATCCAACTTTAGACCCAAATCTGACGACAGCTTGTGTCACTTGATTGACAGCTGCAAGATCTTCGGCTAGAGCCATAATTCATAAAATCCAACTTTAGACCCAAATCTGACGACAGCTTGTGTCACTTGATTGACAGCTGCAACATCTTCGGCTCGACTTACAGAATTAGGCCCAATGAAGATAAAACCGACCTTGAACCCACGAATTAAACACTTCGGCTCGAGCCGTAATTCCTTAGATTAACCCGACTTTAAGACCCAATCTCCAACCCAACTCTGACGACAGTTTGAGTCAGGAGATTGACAGCTGCAATATCTTCAATTCGACTTAAGGAGTTAAGCCCAATGAAATCAAAAACCGACCTGTATCCACCATACTAAACACCTTCACTCACTCTCCTCTAAACTCTACAATTTCTTCGGTCAGTACTGCCAATCACTGCAGTACATACCGAAAGCTTAGTTGAGGGTGCACTTTAAATAATGACGCTGTTGCATTTCAAGGGAATATTTCATTTAGATATATTGCACACTGTGTGAAATAAATATAGCTACTGTTGACATATCGCAAAACATATTGAAGGAATCAACAAGCATTATTTTGAAAGGAAGCATTATTTAGGCAGAAGCCAAAGGAAGTTACGTGTATATGCTGCGTTGAATTACAACATAGAGAGATCCTGTTCCAGCCTCGGCGTTCGGACCCTAGCCTGTCCTAGCCTCGGCGCTCGGCCCCCTTGCCTGTCCTATCCGCAGTGCTCGGACCAGAAAGTGTCTTAACCCGACCTGAACCCTAAAATATATACTCTCTCTTCTTGTAATTCAACGCGGCAAGTGCACTTCACTTCCTTGGGCAACTGCCCTATTATTATACTACCCAGAGTGTGCGATATATGATATATCTAACTGTAATTTTTCCGTTGAATATTAAAGATATATCTTTTGGAGTAATTGCGGGCTTTTTTTCAGAAAAGAATAATCAAAAATACAGGATGCGATATAACCTCGTTGGATATATCTAACTGAAATATTGTCTTAGAATATTATAAATATATCTATTGGAGCAAAAGCGGTTTATCTTCATCAGAAGAATGATAAATAATAAGAAACTAACAAATTACTATTTAAGAAAGACCTAGGATTAGTAGATATGGTGCGAAGACGACGTATTTACAGAAAAATCCTGGATACTTCAGATAGTATACACCAGCAAACTCATGATACACAGATCAAGAAGAATCAAAACACTAGGGGTCAGTGGATCAACATGGAACTGAAAATAAAACTTAATTACTTTTTCATTATTGTCATTTATACCAAAATTGATCAAATTAAATGACTTGAGTATGCATGGGTCCGGTAGCTGTAAAGACGTTTCTTTGCCAAATCATTTTTATCCCAATAATTGGCTATGTATCAGGTTAACCAGATGATTAGATTCGAAGAGGGACTGTTCTCTTATTTTGTTAATTTCATGGTTAACTAATTAGCAAATTAGCTATTCATTGGATTCACCGACAAAGGGTCAAACGACCCAGGGTCAAACGACACAGGGTCAAACGACAAAGGGTCAAACGACACAGGTTCAAACGACAAAGGGTCAAAAACGCGACAAAGGGTCAAACGATACAGGGTCAAACGACAAACGGTCAAAAAATGCGACAAAGGGGCAAATTTTTTTTAAATTCTGTCAGTTAGTATTTTTTTTATTATTATTTATGCTTTGGTTAGGTACATTCTGGGCCGAGCGCTGCGGCTAGGACAGGCTAGGGGGCCGAGCGTGGCCACATGGTCAATTATATCCATTTATTTATTATTATTTAGGGTTAGGTTAGGTTAAGACACTTTCTGGGCCGAGCGCTGCGGCTAGGACAGGCTAGGGGGCCGAGCGCTGCGGCCACGGGTTAGGTTAGTTAAGACACTTTCTGGGCCGAGCGCTGCGGCTAGGACAGGCTAGGGGGCCGAGCGCTGCGGCCACTTGTTAGGTTAGTTAAGACAATTTCTGGGCCGAGCGCTGTGGCTAGGACAGGCTAGGGGGCCGAGCGCTGGGGCAACATGGTCAATTATATTGCCAACCCGACCATTATGGAAGCCAGAATCAGACTAAAGTTTTAAATCTTCAAAAAAGTTTGGCGGATTTTTGTGATTAAAATTGTGAGTTTCCTATGATTCAAATCAAAAAATATTTTTATCATTTTGACCTTTTGTCGCACTTTTGACCCTTTGTCGTTTGACCCTTTGTCGTTTGACCCTTTGTCGTTTGACCCTGTGTCGTTTGACCCTGTGTCGTTTGACCCTGGGTCGTTTGACCCTTTGTCGGTGAATCATTCATTGGTATTAGTCTTACTGTTCAAAGATATCTATGACCGGAGAAAAAGCCGATTTATTGTTTAGAATTCCAGTGGAAAGGTATGATTCCTTTGCATACACACTATTTAAACGTTTTTTTTTCAGTAACAACAGCCCAATGCAATCTAGAATCATCATATTTCAATGAAATCATGTGTCAGCCATTATATAATAATCAAGAAAAAAAAAAATTTGATTTTAGAATTAGTAAGAAATAAACGTTTTCGTGTTCAAACATGATTTAACAAATTGATACGTTTATACAAAGACGACTTTCTCTCTCGGACAAACCGGTTCCTAGATTCCAAAAATGTTTAAAATAGAAAATAGACATTCTAAAAAGTATTTTGAAAAAAGTTTAAGATATCTACAATTAACTATTAGATACTTCAATTTAATTTAATATTTGAATTTTTTTTAAATCCATGACTATGACAAAAAGCATCAAATAGTGTCTATGCAAAGGAATCATACCTTTGTGCTGGAATTCTGAATGATTAATCGGCTTTTTCTCATGCCACAATTTTCATTGAAAAGTAAGACTAATACCAATGAATATCTATAATAGGCTATTCAGTTTACCCTCAAATTACCCAAATAAGTGAACGGTCCCTTTAAAAGTCTCTCCTTAGGATCACAAATTTAAATTTTAAAATCTTTTAACTCTCTTCATAAAGTTCTATGTTTATCAATTAAACGATGTTAAAATCAAAGATGAATGTGCTGATATAAATAAAAAACTGTTCGCAGATTCGTTTAAATCTAAAACAAAAGAAGAAAATATTTATAGGGCAAAAAAGGTAACTGAAATTCACTTCTGATAATTCTTTGTAAAATAATTTTTTATTTTTATTTTTGTAAGAAATTCTGTAGAGAATTTGATGGAATCTCTGCCGTTTACCCAAATTGTGGATTCTCACGAAAAACTGTAATAGCTAACAAACTGGAAAATGCGGGAAATTTATCATCAAAATATCCTCCAGAATTAATCAGGTAGCCACTAATTCTCTTTGTTTAATGCAATATATGTTTAAAGAATCTATTGGTTGTAATTTCAAGTGACCCTTCAATTAAAGCGGGGCATGTCAGGCAAATTTAAAATTGCGCCTTCTAAAACTGTTTCTGATCAAGAACTTTTATGGAGAAACCACAATTTTCAACTTCCAAAGAGAAAACCATGCAACGCTCTTTATTTGGATCAACCAAAGCTCTATAAGGGAGTGTTCTCGAATAATGAAAATAGTTGATTTTTTATAATATGTTTTATCAGAGAGTTTGTTTTGAAAATATGCATTCCTGTTTCGAGGATTTTTTTCATAACGAAGACGACATCTTCATATTTTCCAGGAAGGTTAAAAAACCAGCGCCAGATTCAGATTTCTTTCTTGCAACTTTTTTTTTTTGCAATGGCCTAAATATTCTCAATTATAGGTCGTACATTATTTAACTTTGAGGTTTTTGTCAGGTGTAACCCAAACTTTGATTTAATCTATTGCTGACAGCATAAAGAGGCTGGCTGTGATGGGTGTTTACAAGTTTATCCTACCAGCAAGCTGGGCCCTCGCGGACCAAGTTAGATTTGATTTACACAAGGAAAAGCTTTAGGATTGATTTAGGTATATTCCTTTTTGCATTAAAATATGGTTCCATCAGCTTATGGTAATGGTCCCCGGCAGATGTTCTTCTTGTTAATGGAGAAGGGAAGGAACTGGCTCTGCATTTTCCTGTGAATGGTGGGTTACAGTATCCTCCAAATTGGTGTTTGATCATACTAGCTCCACCCTCAACTTGTAATATGTTAACTAGCAAAGCTTTAAGGAGTTCAGGCTTATATTCAACACTCTTATTTAGATAAAGGGTATTTATTCAGAACAGTGTTGACCGAACCCAATGATTTTTCAACCACGCAGTCCTAACATCTTGTAGACATCGTGATATCAATTTCATTATGATTAGATATTAATAAAGCTTGTGAGAGAAAAAAGTGTAAAGTTTTTTTTAAACCCTTTACATTGATAGGGTCACTTGAAATTATGTCTACAGCCCCTTTAGAATACAATTTTTGTTTAAGTTCTTCCCAACCTTTGGATAAAAATGAGTCCTACCACATGAATCGTCTTCCAGTATCTCCTTTTTCATCCTCCTCATCCACATCAGCTGATGATTACTTCCTTCAGGTTCAATAATCATTCTTTTATGAAAGGGATTATTCATAATTATTTTTCAAAATACATATCATACCCTAATTTTTGAATTAACAATACTTTACTAAGAAATTTTTTCTGCTTACATTATTACCCTGAGGGTAAACACTAAAATCACTAAAGCTTTGATTATTATGACCATCAGAAATATAGGTTTAATTGTAATCTTAATTCCGAAATTTGGAGTATTTATGTTTAATGGGGATACGATAGAAGATTTAAAAGGTGAACATTTTCTTGAACGAATATGTTAATAAAATTTTACAAGGAGGAGTCAGACGAGTCCTTTCATGAAAATAAGGTTTCCTCTGAACTTTTTAGAAACAGGGACAGGTCAGTTATATTTGCTTACAACCACTTTACAGGGAAGTTAGGGGATTTTAGTTTTTTAATTGGTCAAGAGAACTCGAGGTAAAAAACTATTTTTTCTTAAAGTAAAGGCTATCAAGTTCTTAGGATCGGATCGATATTTTGTTTACTAATCCCAAGGCCATAGTGGTAAATGGTAATATAGCATCTTCTTGTAGTGGTATATAATTTGGGCATTTAAAAATTAAATTGCTTTTTATTTGTTTTGAAATATTTCAAGAATGCGGTATTTTTTTTTAAAGGTGTTCTGTAAGAACCATAAATAATGTTACCAGAATCAGTATCGTCAACAAATAACAGTGAGAATTCAAAGAAAATGTTTGAAAACAATGAAAAAAGGGACTTTAAAGGGACAGTAAAGGAAAAATGAAAGGGGGTATAGGCTGAAAGCTAATCACTTTAGCTCTTGATCTCGACCCATGAAAGTCATATCTGATGTTCTTGTCTCGAGAAATTGATATAAAACTGTGTCAAATCTATACGAAAATTAATATATATACAATTTTGTATAAAAGTAGTAGGTTTAAACAGATCATATTCAGCAAATAAGCAACCAATCTGAAAACGATGATATTCCAGAGAAAGCTAATTGTAATTTAGGTTTACTTTTATATTTGTTGTTTCTATTTTCAATAGATTTCATTCATAATATTATTTATACATCCGTATTGCTTGACCAGAAATTCCACCAATGGCAGTGCAGTAAAGTGGTCACGTGATACAGGCGGAGACACGTGACCAGTATACTGCTCTGCCATTGGTGATAGTTCTGGTCACGTGATTTAAGTTTCAGATTTTACATATATGAATTTTCGTATGATTTTAACACAGTTTTATATCAGTTTCTCGAGACAGGAACATCAGATAAAACTTTCATGGGTCGCGATCAAGAGCTAAAGTGATTAGCTTTCAGCCTATACCCCCTTTCATTTTTCCTTTACTGTCCCTTTAAGGCATAACTTTAAGTGACCCTCCAGGCTCCATGCAATGTCATAGCAATGCCCGATTAACAACAGTAAACTTGAAACCTTGATGAGTGGAAGATAACGTCGTTTTTCTAACAAGAAAAGTGTTTTTAATTTTGTGAATTTATCTGTATAGTAGAAATGAGTAATTGTCACTTTTGCATGCAAAGAACCCACAAATGAAAAGGAAAAGTTTAAATAAACAAAAGCGTGCATATTTATTTTATACCTGATCAGACAAAGCGTTTAAGACCGGGTACCGTTGTAAATCGGGCATTGCCATCTTTGCATCGAGGTGACTAAAAATTACGCTCCCTTTAAATTTGTCATCTTAAAATCTATTAATTTTCTAGTTTTATGTTTGTGTAGATTATAAAATTAATTTAGCCATTTTATTTTCTTATCCCTTTATTTATTCAACCCAATGTCGTAAACCAGCGATACTGCAAACTAGGAATTCTGTTTGATCAAATAATCTAAGTTTGAAATATCAAGGGTCTACATAATCATGTTGCAAAGATAAATCGAATAGAAAATTTCTCATTTTTTTGCTTTCTCAAGGTTAAGAAATGATTTGTTTTCTCATGAAAAACCTAAGAGTAAGCTCCAGAAGGGTAAACAGGTGGATTTTTCATCCTTAAAATTAAAAACACATTTTTTTAAGTATTGTAATATTCCTCTTGGCTTCCAGATTATATCGTCGTGCTCTGGTTTTTTAAAAACAATTCTTATGATTTTTCAAAAAATATTGGATCCTTTTTTTCATTGAACAATGAACAATAACGATAAATATCTATCTAAGATCTTTTAGTTTGTATTGGTGATTTTTCAAAAAACATTGGATTCTTTTTTTCATTGAACAATGAACAATAACGATAAATATCTATCTAAGATCTTTTAGTTTGTATTGGTGATTTTTCAAAAGTAAAAAAATCCTACTTACTTTTAGGGGTCACTTTTGAATCCTGACCGACCCAAGCTAAGGAAGAAAAGAGGTTTTACGAAAAACCTGACGGAGACTTCGGACACTCCTTGTCAATGTGAAATATTAACCTCACAGCTAGCAGAACTTAGGAACAAGTTAGACAATACTTTACTTGAAAACTCAAAATTAGGTATAGGTTTCATTTTTTTAAGTTTATGTAAATTTCGTAATCTTTTTTGTAGAAGAACTTCTTGCTAAGTTGGCTGAACCAGTAAGTCTAAACAAGAGCCATCTTTTAGGAACAGGATAAAAACAAATTTTTTACTATTTTTTAAATTTTTTACTATTTTTAAAAGTACATGCTTTCAAATTCTTAAAAAAATTTCCTGTATTTAGAGAACAGTAATTTTTCTGATCATTTTGAAGACATTAATTTCGAAGATTTTCTCGACGTTTCATTTAATTCTTCGAACCCCTCTGGAAAACAAAGTTTAGAAAGAAGTTCTCCGGACGGAGAAGCTGGGAATGATAACAAGGATAACCATGATGACAGTGACTCCACAATTAAAGAACTAGATGAGACTCTTGAGATGAAATCTATTGGAAAACCTGAAATATCTGATGAAGATACTAATGATGGTTTACAGTGTAGAGTTAAAGAGCTTGAGGAGACCCTAGAAATGATACAGGAAGAGTTTGAGTTGATGGAAGATTACTGGCAGGAGAAATTAAAGGTTTGTCTTATCTTAAACATCTTCATATGTATTATTTTTATGTGCTTTTCATAATTAAAGATTTAAGCCTACAAAAATCTTTCTATTTATGTATATAGATGTTATATTTATATTTATCAATATTTCTATAATCTAGAAGGAGCGAGAGTTTTATATTCAACAGTTAGACGTAACAGAAGAACAACTAGAACAGCTAGAAGCTAGAATACAACATTATCAGCTTATAATCAGAACGAAGCAGGTAGTTAGTAAAATACCAGCTAAAACAGAAGCTATAATTCAATTTTATCAGCTGGTGGTAACTAATAAAATACCAGCCATAACATTAGCAAGAATACAACACTATCAGCTGATTATCAGAGTGAAGCAGGTAACTAGTAAATTATCAGCTATAACAAAAGATAGAATTCAACATTATCAGATGATTATCAGAGTGAAGCAGGTAGTAAAATATCAGCTAGAAGAGAAGCTACAATTAAATTTTATCAGCTGATATCAGAATGAAAATTAGGTAATTAAAAAAAGCCACATCAGCTTGTTATAAAAATAAGCATGTAATCAGCTATAGCCGAAGCTAGAAAACTACACATTTAGCTAATTTTAAGAATGAAGCAGGTAATCAGTAAATTATCAGCTAGAACAGAAACTAGTTTACAGCATGGATTTATAAACTATATTAGAGAACTGTTCTTGAACCAGTACTAGAAAGGATGAATCTATAAACATGCATATGAATATATCCAGAGAACTGTTCTTGAACCTGTACTAGAAAGAATCTATAAATATGCATATGTATATATCCAGAGAACTGTTCTTGAACCAGTACTAGAAAGAATCTATAAATATGCATATGTATATATCCAGAGAACTGTGCTTGAACCAATACTAGAAAGAATCTATATATATATATGTATATGTATATATCCAGAAAACTGTTCTTGAACCACTACTAGAAAGAAGCTATAAATATGCATATGTATATATCCAGAGAACTGTTCTTGAACCAATACTAGAAAGAATCTATATATATATGTATATGTATATATCCAGAGAACTGTTCTTGAACCAGTACTAGAAAGAATCTATAAATATGCATATGTATATATCCAGAGAACTGTTCTTGAACCACTACTGGAAAGAATCTAAAAATATGTATATGTATATATCCAGAGAACTGTTCTTGAACCAGTGCTAGAAAGGATGGATCTAGAGGCTGAAGTTGAAGTTAGAGAAACCGAAATTAATCAGCTGAGGTTAGTCCTACAAAACAATTCAGAATTTTGGAACTACTTTTATTGTTTACTTCCGTTCAATTAGAAAAGTAAAATAACTATAAGATCCCAATTTAACTACTTAATAACTTTTGATTTACCATCAGTAATTATTCCCAGGATTCAGGTGGAGGATTTAACGCAAGAGCTAACAGATTTAAAACATCAGGTTTAGCAGGTTGTTGAATTCTAAATTTATATTTTATTGAATCTGAGAATTCTAAGAAATATCTTAAAAATAATCTTACAATAATAACTTTTTATTCAGTTTCTGATTGACAGCTCAGCGCAGCATATAGTAGACATCTGTTGCTTAACTAGTGTAATCCAAACAGTAGAATATAAATATATAATAAATAATGTGAACATTTAATAGATGGGGCGGACAACAAAAATGTAAATGTGAAAATGTAAAGGGTAGACAACGTATATAAAGAGACTAAATGCTTTTACATTAAAACCTATATTTTTGGAAAGATTCTAGATCTTTTATTTATAGCTACATAGAACATGATTCAGCTATAGTTGTAAATGAACTCTGTAGCTAAGAGAAAGACTTAATTAGCTGAATGAAGGCCCCTAGCTATAATACAATAGCCCTTGAGCTAATGAATGTATCTGAATAGCTGAATTACGGCCCTGGTAGCTAGTGGATCTGAATAGCTGAATCATGGCCCAAGTAGCTAGTGGATCTGAATAGCTGAATCATGACCCAAGTAGCTAGTGGATCTAAATATCTGAATCACGGCCAGGTAGCTAGTGGATCTGAATAGCTGAATCATGGTCCAAGTAGCTATTGGATCTGAATAGCTGATTCATGGCCCAAGTACCTAGTGGATCTGAATAGCTGAATCATGGCCCAAGTAGCTAGTGGATCTGAATAGCTGGATCATGGCCCAAGTAGCTAGTGGATCTGAATAGCTGAATCATGGTCCAAGTAGCTAGTGGATCTGAATAGCTGAATCATGGCCCAAGTAGCTATTGGATCTGAATTGCCGAATCATGGCCCAAGTAGCAAGTGGATCTGAATAGCTGAATCATGGCCCAAGTAGCTAGTGGATCTAAATAGCAGAATTATGGTCCAAGTAGCTATTGGATCTGAATTGCTGAATCATGGTCCAAGTAGCTAGTGAATCTGAATAGCTGAATCATGGCCAAAGTAGCTATTGGATCTGAATTGCTGAATCATGGCCCAAGTAGCTAGTGGATCTGAATAGCTGGATCATGGTCCAAGTAGCTATTGGATCTGAATAGCTGAATCATGGTCCAAGTAGCTAGTGGATCTGAATAGCTGAATCATGGCCCAAGTAGCTATTGGATCTGAATTGCTGAATAATGGCCCAAGCAGCTAGTGGATTTGAATAGCTGAATCATGGCCCAAGTAGCTAGTGGATCTAAATAGCTGAATCATGACCCAAGTAGCTTGTGGATCTGAATAGCTGAATCATGGCCCAAGTTGCTAGTGGATCTAAATTCCTGAATTAAATTTAACTAGCTGTAAAAGGCTTATCTAATTAAAGGGCCTAAAAAAAAGGCCAATCTATCCAGCTTGATGGTGACCCTGCAGCTATTAGATAATAAATATCCCTGGAGTAAAAAAGGCTAGTTAAGTCTGAACAGGTGAATAGAATTATCTAGATAGCTAAAATAAGATACAAGATTTTTTTAATCCCCCCGAAGTACTGAATCAATGACGACAGTCTTTGTCAAACAAGTATTTCCATCGGTGTATTTGCTTATTTTTATTGTCAAGGCATGCCGCAAGTTTCAATCTAAAAATACTGTTAAAGTTTATTTGTATAATACATATAGAAGACAAGGTTTTGAATGAATTAAATGATAAATAACTGTCATCATTTAAATCAGGTTCAATCTAGTTTAGCTCTGGAAATTTATATCTTTATATAAATATATATTATCATACAGGGTGAGAAAATTTAAAAAACAAAATGTTTGTTAAAACTATGAAGAAGAAAAATCAACCAAAAAAAAAACAATGCCAATCTGCTGTAAATCTTTATCATATAAATCTTTTTTTATGATAACAATATTTTTCTTCAAAACGTAATTTGTAGATTTTTAGTCATTAATAGATTTTTAATGAAATATGTAAAGATCCAGTCAAAAAATTGTTAAATCTTTAGCTTTTTTTGTGATACTGCAACCTTGAAAAATTTTATTTCCTGTACAATTGTTTAACATTATTAGGGCTAGGNACGGTAAAAGGCTTCATATTAAAGATGTAAAGCTGTACTTCATATCCCACTATAGTTTCAGTAGAAGTAAATGCCTCATTTAGTGTATAATGCCGATTTAAGGATTTATCTCAAATTGGATGATGAGATAGATAGAAAGATAGATATTACCGCCAAGCAATTTCTATTGGTTCAGATAGACACATGACTTAACCCTGATTGGATCAGGCGCTAATGGACTCGGCATACAAGAGTGATCCAGTTAATTGCTCAATTTTTTCGAGGCCAAAAAAGTGCATTCGTCAAAAGAATGAAAGATATTTAAAATAATTGTGCAAAATGAAAATTTTTCTACTCTTTTACTTTAAAAAAAGTTTGGAGGTTTTTTGTGGCCATGTGATAAATACCATTTATTAAATGTTTCAATGTTGACAAATTTGTTTTACGGTGACGACACTAATAATTTTTGTACTCACCCTGTATATATATTTGTGTGTTGAGAGATAAGAGTGTTAGCTATTTTAACGTAAAGTATTCAGTTGGTTTTCAAGTTTATCTTCATTGCAAAGTTAAATCAAAGTAGAACCATAAATCCGTACTTAGCATTCATCTAAATCAAGTACAAATTTTAATCCATACAGATATATCTAATATTAAGGTAGTATCGATCTAATCCCTGTATATCTACTGTATATTTGTAAGATAAAGATGTAATCCATATATTTCTCCTCTTAATATAATTCATATATATATATCTACTATAAAGGTAGAATGTATATAATCCATATTTATCTACTATAACGTTATTGAATGTATATAATCCATATATATCTACTATAAAGGTAGAATGTATATAATCCATATTTATCTACTATAACGTTATTGAATGTATATAATCCATATATATCTACTATAAAGATATAGAATGTATACAATCCATATATATCTACTATAAAGGTATAGAATGGATCTAAGGTTGGAACTAGATGATGAGGAAGTTGAATATTGCATGGAGCAAGGAATCTTGGATCATCTTTCAGATTCACTTTCACAGGTTTTTACAGAAAATTAAGAATAGTAATATGAAAATTTGGATATCTCACACATTCTTGATGAGATAAAGGTTTCAAGGGTATTGTTGTGAATCGGACATTCCACGAAAAAGTCGCTTGAAATACTCATTAATTTCTTACTAGGCTCTGAAATCTGTAGCAAGTAGCAGGCCTAGTGATCCTTTTCTTACTTTGGTGGATTTACTAAAAAATGTTGGCTGTCAGAATAAAATACTTGTTCAAGGTAGAAACCCTTTATTACATTCAGTTAGATAAGAATTTATTTTTTATTGTCAGGATTTAATATTTTCAAGTCACAAGCTTAAAATTTAAGTTAATTTCTATTTTTTAACTATACATATTTTTTCTTGTTCGATTACGTTGTACTTATGATGCAAACGGGAGGGGGGGATTATTTCCTTTCTAGGTAGAATCTGATGTCCGTGAACGCGAGGTATGGATAATATTAATTCTCGCGCAAAAGCATCAAATAAAAATGAATGTAGAGTCAACATATTTTTGAAATTTTAATTTAGTTGAACATTTACCTTCTTGCCAATTTTTTACGAACACTTTTAATAAATGAAAAACTTTGCTATTTTACTTCAAAATATACTGCACTGCAGGATATCCAGTAAACTGTGTGGATGGAGTTGAGCTGGGGGTTGGACCAATAGTTGGTGAGGTAAATCAAGATATTTTACAGGCCTCAGCTGTTTAATGCATGATCTCATATTTTTATTTATCTCAAGATTAATTTAATCTTTGGTTTGTTTCCTGGAAAAATAACCAATAGAGTGGGGTATCCAAAATCTCGAACAGCCAATTAGAAGCCGAGAAATTTTAAAATTTTGCCCGCGAAATCAATGAGCGAACTCTCATTGGTGCAATCCAATAAGGATATCCATAAAGAGAGGATTAAGCAAAAAATCAAAAGTGTCGACAGTAGATAAATAGATTTAGTAATCGGGATTAAAGGTATCCAATTCTAAAGTTTTCAGTTCTGGTTGTTAATAGTTCGTGTTGAAGGTGTTAGGTACTTTCCCTAGGGCATTTTCCCAAGGGCAATTTCCCAAGTGATAATTTCCCAAATGGCAACTTCCCTTAATGTATATTTTCCCAAGGGCGATTTCCCTAGTGATAATTTCCCAAATGGCAACTTCCCTTAATGTATATTTTCCAAAGGGCGATTTCCCTAGTGATAATTTCCCTANACAACATGACTTAAAGATCTTGTAGACAACAAATAATTTCCCAAGTGGCAACTTCCCTTTTAATGTATATTTTCCCAAGAGCGACTTCCCTAGTGATAATTTCCCAAGTGGCAACTTCCCTTAATGTACATTTTCCCATGGGCAACTTCCAAAAGGTAGGGTAAGGGCAAAGGAGCCTAGCGCTGCGGCTAGTAAAGGCTAAGGGGCCGAGCACTCCGGCTAGGATGTACTTGGGAAGTCCCCGTTTGGGAAAAACGCTTTTGGGAAAGTACCTTACATCGTATGGACAGGGTTAGCCACAAACAATAATATTCCTGAGCCGGCGATTTAAAAAATTCAAGAAAATACGACTCGGGTCTAAGCTGTTGTTGAGCCTTATTTACGGCTCGGGTTTTCGAATTTAAGTTGCATCTATTTTTCAACAGAATTTAGTTCATAAAGCCGGTTTAATGTTCTATTTGGCGGATTTTCATAGTTGGAATTGGTGCATTCCGGGTTTTGATGAGAATAAGACCCAACATTGAGCCTTATTCTTCACTAAAACCAACCAAGGTCGGTTTTATTTTCATTGGGCCTAACTCCTTAAGTCGAGCCTAAGATCTCGCAGCTGTCAATCACGTGACACAAGCTGTCGTCAGAGTTGGGTCGAAGATTGGGTCTTAAAGGGAGTGTTCGCGAAAAATGAAAGGGGGTATAGGCTTAATGCGATAAAAAAGCGCATTTGATCGCTACTAATCTTACTTCTATCTGTTGCGTCTATAAGGAGAAAATTGATAAAGACGTCTCATACCGAAGAGCGTAGCGCCCATACAAAATGAGGAAGTTGGAACATACGACTTAGACCGTAAAAAATCAAATTAATATCAAACAAATCATTCAGATATTACAACCTATAGTCATCGCTTATCTTTCGCCACATTTGTATGTATTTAATATTTCATACTAGTTTTGATTTTGTTTTTTGAAATAATATTTAGCTTACAACTTGTTTTCGAGCATTCCTGGAAAATATGAAAATGTCGTCTTCATTAGCAAAAATCCTCGAAACAGGAATAAACGTTTTTATAAGTAACTCTCAGATCATAACAATTAAAACATATTATGAAAAATCAACCATATATAAATGTGGCGAAAGATAATCGATGACTTTAGGTTGTAATATCTGAATGATTTGTTTGAAATTAAATTGATTTTTTACGGTCTAAGTCGTATGTTGCAATTTTCTCAATTTGTATAGACGCCATGTTATTCGGTATGAGACGTCTTTAACTATTTTCTCCTTATAGACGCAACAGATAGAAGTAAGATTAGTAGCGATCAAAAGCGCTTTTTTATCGCATTAAGCCTATACCCCCTTTCATTTTTCGCGAACACTCCCTTTAAAGTCGGGTTTAAGGAATTACGGCTCGAGCCGAAGCTTTTAAATCGCGGGCTCTGAAGTCTACACAATACAGAATTAGCCACAAATGACGATCATTTTGAAATTCTATAATATCTTAGCAACCCAGTGTTGTAGACCTTAGATATTTCAAACTATATATTCTGTTACATCAAATAGTGTAAATTTAAAAATAAAAGGTTTACACCATCAGATAACAAAGAAATAGGGATTTAAAGATATGAGTTTGTTACGAAGACTCAATTATTTATTAGTCTACGGTCCTAAAGTTGCATGTATTTTAAATAGTTTCAGGTCCAAATCCTTGGTGGAAAAGCATTGCAAATAGTTTAAATTCAATCCATTCTTTAGAGATAAAGTACAACTTAATGTTTAATGAAAAAAATGTTATATTATAGGTGACAGAAAACTCCGCAATTATAATGATAGAAGTTAAAAATTCCAAAAGTGCTTCCAATCTGGTCACTTGCGATGTTTACAGGTGTTGTTTTGTTCATTGCACTTCTTTGAATAACAAAAAAAGAATCTTTTGAAAATATCTGTTTTGCAGGAAGGGTGAGAGGACAGTTTATTGGTAATAGTTTTTTAAATATTAATTTTTTATCTTTTTAAAAATATATTCTTTTATAATTGATATAAAATATATGATATTAATATTTTTTATCAGTAATGTAGAAAAATCTTGTCCATTTACCACCCCAACAGCTTTCCTTATTCAAGATCTAGGTAATTCATTTAAATAGAAAGATAAATAAGATAAAAAATTTTAGAAAAACTACAATTGATAAAATAATAATTTTTGTACTGTACTGTTTGTTTTTTGTTAAGAGGCGAACACTGAGTACACTGTAGTGTTTAATGGACTAGATGACTGCTGTGCCAAGAATGCGTATGCTCTGTTCAAAACAAAACAACCGTACAAAAACATGAAAACATTCAAGGGAACATTATTTTTTCATCCTAAGTGGACATTCTATAATATTCCAGAACTATTCAAAACCTTTGGTTTAATGAAAAAGATAACTTATACTCCAAATTAAATCTGTTATACCAGATTAAGAAATGCTAGTGCATTTCTGATATACCAGATTATTAAAGCCTATTTGTCTGATAACGTTGATTACTAACAAACTTAGTAGTCTGGTATATCAGATTACTTGAAACTCTATTGGTATAAACCATAATTTTATTAAGCCTTTTAACCTAGTATACCAGAATATTAAAAACCTAATGGTCTGGTATACCAGATTATTGCCTTGAGTTGTGATAGACCAGATCGAATGCTGCTTGGACAGAAGAACCCATGGTAAACTATTTAAATAACGTAATTAAACTATATAGATATCTGCTGATTAAGGAAATTTCAAAAATGAAATCTGCCACTTTTGCATCCCGTTCTGTATTTATAAAAAATCATGATAGTGCTGTAAAACTGCCTTATTTCTCTTTTTTCAAGATGTGTTAAGAATATTTAAGAAAATTATTATAAAAAGACTGTCAACTTTTTTTCCTTTTGCTAATCAGCAGAATAGTATACCATAGTTCGGAAACAACATGAAATAGACTAAACCTGAATTATATTCGAAATCGATAGGTATCAATAGTTTTTTTGTTAATCTTTATTCAAGCATGGTAAGAAAATTGTTTTAAACGTTCGTTACTTGGAGAGGAGAATTGACTCCAAAATACTTTCTGACGCTTCCTATGAAGGTATGAGCTGGCTAAGAAGAGTTATACTGCTGATGTGATGTTACATCTAGGTGACCAAGTATATAACAAGGGGGAGGATAATGATAAAACTCTTCAGATATTTGACAGGAAAATACAAATTCAAATTTGGCTATTTATTAATTATTTTTTCTATTACCTGTAGAAAACAACATGTTATTTTTAATAAAGGAATTGAGTTTTTCCCACAGACTCAAATTTTCTGATCTCTATATCTTTTCAACCTGATGGTGTACATCTTTCATATTTCGATTATTAATACATTTATCTGAATTCTTAGTTTGAAATATCAAAGATCTATGAATTGGGTTGCACAGATTTAAGACTTACAAAATTTTAGTTTTCTAAGCTCGTATTAATAAGTTTAAGATTCCAAAAATCTTAATTAACATTTTTTTCTTTCAGTTTAAAGTTAGTTAAGTTTATTCACACCTTACAAAAATCACCAAAAAGAATATTTTTGTATAATTAGTACCTATGATGGTTTGGGAGATAGAGAGAAGGGGAAAATGAAGAAACGAGCAAGAGCTCTTCTCAGGAATAAATAGTTTTTCTCTTATTGATCAATCCACGACACATGAGAGAAGAGAGATGACTTTAACATCGTCTTTGATCTTTAAAATAATTAAAATCTCAATAAGATTTCTCAAATTCCTGTAGTTTTTACATTCTCAAAAAGGAAGACAATATTTTTTAAACACCAGAAATGATGGTATCATTTATGCAAAACCCATGGTTTTTGCGAAATTTTTGCATTTTTGCGTAAATAATTACCTTTTACGAAAGTTTCATATTTTTCGCATTCCGTTCGCTCGCGGAAAATGCGAAAACAAATTTCGGAAAATTTCGTTTTCATCTGTTTCGCGAAAAAATGTGAAAATGATTTAATTCGTTGTCACAAACTCAAGTTTTCTAATCCCTTTATCTTTACAACCCAATGTCGTAGACCTCAGAAATTTCAAACTTTATATTCTGTTAGATCAAATAATATAAGCTTGAAGTATCAAAGGTTTTCACAATCAGGCTGCAAAGTATATAGGGAATAGAAAATTTGAGTTTGTGGTAAAGACTCAATTCCTTTCGCGAAAAAAAAACATGGAGAAAACATTTTTTCCTTTAGAAAGAAGTACAGGGATACGTGGAATAAGAAAATGACCAAAGATACGCTACAGGTAGGATTGAAAGATACTTGTAATATAATGATTCCTTCATTTAGTGGTAACTGGTATGTTCGATTCACAATAGAACGTTTTCAACCTTTGTCTGATCAAGGATCATATAAATTTCACTAAAAGGGGATCATTTATCGTACAGTCCCGTTTTGCCTCATATACTCTGTATTTGTGCTGTAATGCTTGCCCTGGCTAGTTAAAATCCGGCCCGGTACATGAAATGAACTGAAATGTACCGTGTCATTGAATGAAATATCCTTATCAATCTTAATTGACATAGGTTTTGTTATTGTTGTAAAATCGGCGTATTTTGCTACAGAGACCATTTCATGATATCTTTCTTACTGTTATTCAGATAGAGGTTTGAAGGAAATCGTTGTTAATCTGACATCCCAATTTATAATGAAAGGTTGCTTGAAATTCCGCACAAATACGAGTTATGTACAGTACATGAACGTATACAATTACAAATAAAGAAGAAAATTATAAAATTCTTGTGTGAGAGAGAGAGAGAGATATATATAGGAATGGGATTTGTTTTCATTTGATCAAAAATAACTAGAACAATATTAACTTTCAGAGAGGAAGCCACTTGATGATTTGGTCTGATAACGATGTGGCAAATGACTTCACAACTTTGAAAACTCAAGATGGACTTCAGGTGTTAAAATCATAAACACAAAATCAATTGTGAAAACTTTGAAGAAAAAGTTGTTGTTAACATTTTAATATGTTTAGGCGTATCCCCCGGCATTCCTTCAGTGTGGTATTGAGGTCTACAGACAATATCAAAGGTAGAAAACAAAAATATTAATATCTAAAAGGATTATTTCAAGTTTGCGAGAAAAAAAAACTGTAAAAAGAAGGCTATCTATTTTTTGATAATTTGAGTCAAAAACTTTTAAATTTTGGATTGGCGTAAACTTTTGTAATGAATAGTTTAAGTTTTATAATCAAGGTTTCTTTCCCAAAAACAGGGTTACTTGTGTCTTCAACTTCAACCGCTGCAGGAGAGAAGGAGAAGGGGTTAGGAATAGATAAAAATGTCTTTTCCTTCAACCAAGTATTTTGTTGTTGCCTTTTTTGGATCCGTTGCATATTGTTTCCTTAAATAACACTGGAACAAAGTCATGGGGCATCAATTAATTTAAAATCTACGTTCGTTCTTAAACAATACTCCCTTTACAGAATCCTGTGGGATCCTGAAGCTATTGGAACTCTACCCTCAGACCCGGAGGAATATTTCAGGAAAATAATTTTTGATAAAATTGAATGAAAATCTCAATTGTAATGTGTTCTGAATATTTGCAAAATTTCCATTTCGTATTAAGATTTTTATTTCATATCGTCTATCGAAATTATTGTTTTTAGTTTACTTTTAAAATTTTTTACTCATAAAACCGTAAAAAAAGAGATTTTTTCTGAAAATTAAATCTGATTTGTCCTTAAATTATTTGTTTCAGTGAGTTCCACTCTCACGTCTATGGTCCGATCGGAATATTCCTGATGGATATGCGAGGGAATAGGTAACATATACTTCATATTATTCCTTATATTCCTCCTGATGGATATGCGAGGGAATAGGTAACATATCCTTAACATTATTCCAGATATTCCTGATAGATATGCGAGGGAATAGATACCATATCCTTCATAATATTCCTTATATTCCTTCTAATAGATATGCGAGGGAATAGGTAACATATCCTTTATAATATTCCTTATATTCCTTCTAATAGATATGCGAGGGAATAGGTAACATATCCTTAACATTATTCCAGATATTCCTGATAGATATGCGAGGGAATAGATAACATATCCTTCATAATATTCCTTATATTCCTTCTAATAGATATGCTAGGGAATAGATAACATTAGAAAAATTAGAAAATCAGAGTTTGTGGAAATGACAATTCCTTTATCCTCAGAGGTGGTGGTTTAAAACTAGCAAAGAATTGTGAAAATAGCGGATTTGTTAAAAAAATTAAAAGTAAACATTCAAAGGATAACAGCGGACGGTGTGCAACAAAGTGAAAATGAACTGGTGTCAGCTGCACAATGGGAAGCAGTTGAAGAATTCTTTAGAAATCCGCAACTCAAGGAAATTTTCAGTAAAATAATTACCAAAAAATAACAAACTATTTGTTCTGCCAAAATTGATCATGACTAAAAATTGAACGTCAACCTTGATATTTACACCCATTTTACAGACAAGTGAAGGGAATTTTTTGTTTTCCGAAAAAGTAATTGTGCACGATTTTATCGTCTTTTAAGATGAAAATGCGGGATTTTTTCGTGAAACCTTTGCAGAGCGTGAGGGTTTTAACTTAATTGTTCCAATGAATATTAGGTAACTTAACATCCTGCTGTTGGGGGAACAATGCTGGTAAAAATGGGATTAAATAAGTAATTATTAAACATGATTCATGAAATAACTATATATATATGTACATTTTTTAAAACACTATAAATATTTACGTTTATTAAGAAAATTTAAATAAATCCAAGATTTTTAAAACTTGATTGAAATTCGATTTTACCAGAAACAATTTTACTAACGTCCATTTTGACATTTGTTCCAAGAGAAATCTGGATTTACTTATTTTACTATAAAAGCCCAACTTACTGAAAATTAACTATAGGTTATAATCATAGGCTCTGAAATTCCTTTTGTTGGAGATGACCCAATCTCAATAAAAGAGAAGGCTGAGAAGGTGGATTTCCTGAAAGATCACTGGCCATATAACGACGAAGATCTGGGTAAAAATAGTGAAAATATGAAATACAGTGAAAATTAAAAAAGACGAAATAATATCGTATTCATTCTATTTTGTTGTCATTTCCGCTAAAGGACTTTGCTTTGAATGTTATTTCTTTCATTCTAACTGAGAGATTCTTAAAAATATTACAATTTCAAAAATAATCTTATTACTGATATTTAAAAAGGTTGCCACAAAGTAAATGTTCGAATTATATATATTTGCAACCTGACGGCTTCAAACCTAGACTATTTTATTTAGTAAAATTGAAAGTCTGAAAAATCGAAGATTTGCCACATCAGCTTGCAAATATATAGGGGTTAGAAAACTAGAGTTTGTGGCAAAATGAGATTACAAGTCGACAAAAAAGAGTAAATTTTAAAGCAACTCCATTAAATCAATATATCTTGGACGTCATTTATATCAATTATTGAATAATTGTATTCTGTTTCAGTGCGCCTTTTGGACCTTGCGTTTACCTGGAAATCTCAGGAAGAAGACGATAGAGAAGTCGTCTTCCTTGGCGGAGATATTCACTGTGGTGTTACATCAGGTAATGGTAATATATACTGTGACAGTTTTGAAAATGCACAATTTTATCAAACATTTAGTTTGAATTAGATTGATTAGAAAATAGCACACCAACGCAGTATGAATTGAAGTGCGACAGAAGTCCTTTTTAAATGTTAGGCTCGTAACGAATCTAAGCTAAAAGTTTTTTCGATTATAATACATATTTAATTCTGTTCAGTGATCCGTGACGAAGAAACTGATTTAACGATAACTCATCTCACGACCTCCCCTATCACAAACCATGTCTGCAAGTTCTTTCCAGATCTTTCCGGAAGGTAGCAACAAATATCAAACAAATAAAAAAGTTTTGAAATTCATTTATCAGAAAATTTTAGTTGTTTTAACGTACAAAGACCCCTGCCTAGTTTTTGTTTTTCATAGTAACTCCCTTCAAAGAAGGCAACATGCTCATATTTGATTTTGCTATTTTTTTTCTTTGTTTTCAGGATAAATGATCGATATTCCTATGACCACATGCCTTTAGGAGAAAATCAACGGTATGTATGATAACACCAAAAAGATTACAATTTTAATATAATTGAGCCAAAACAATATATAATTAGTTTCATTTTCTGACAACCCTAAGCTAGCATAACTTTGAGATTGGATACTCAGGTAATTATTAGCATGGTTAACTTTAGAGGAATAAGAAATTGAACGTGCTTCGGATACCTGGTTTAGCTGATTAATATTATTGACCTTTTTTACGCACCTTTTACTTTGTTTAACGTTGACTGTTCAGTGGGACTGGCACATGGTTAATGTCAGGATTTATGGGTTTTTATTTCAAATCCTAAGCTAGGAATAATATAAAGAGAAGAAAAATATTGAAAACGTTGCAAACATCCCGTGCCATTAAAACATTGAAGTATACAACACCCTTGAAGAGTTTATTCTTGCATGGAAACTTTTAAAAAACTTTTCTAACTTTTTTTTGTAGAAACTATGCGGAGATCAATATTACCCTGCAGCCAAGCTTATCTGTTACATCACAGCTGAGGTAAAGTTTACATAGTTGTAAAGACGACTTGAAACTCTTTAAATATGAAGATTCTAAGTAAAAATGTAGTTTTTTGCCTTTTACATACAAGGTCATAAGTTCATAAAGTTGCAGGGAGTCATAAGTATAAAAAATAGGCAGTATAAATTTCGTAAAGTCGTCTCTGAAGTCTCATTCTTTGAGAATAACCCTGTATATGTACTTATTTCAGACCTGTGTCTACCAACATGTACAAGGTTATGGAGTGGATGTCAGATGAAGAAGAATAATTAAGAAAACAGAGGAAACCATAGAATTCATTAATTTTTACAGAGGGGTTAAACTGTCACACCAAGCTTTTTCTTGATTAAAGTTACGAAACATTCTTTTAATACTTTACATTGTGATTTTTGATTATGGATTGATTTGAATTTCCTTAAATTATTGTTTTATGATTTGTAATTTTGTATATTTTATATGTGTTAAATTTTCATGTAAACAGTAAAAAACAAGTTTAAACAAATAAATTAAGTTATGTGAATATGCGTAAAATAGCCAAATATGTTTTGAGCATGCATCATATTTTAAGATCTAATTCAAAATATGTAAAAAATGGCGTTAAAGAAAAAAAGGCAAATTTTTTACCAGAACCTCTGATTCTCCGTAACATTCATATCATTAACATATCTATAAATGAAAAAGATCTATTCAAAAATAAAGAATATATTTTTAAAAATTATATCTTTTAAACAGCGCCAAAGAACAAGTTTTTTTTCTTCGGTAAATTTTCTACCATTTTCTAATGTTTACCTTGAAACTTCAAATGTTTGTCCAAAAATACAAATAATTTTAAAAATGAAAAGACATGAAATGCACAATTTAATAAAGAAAAATCCGGGAAAAATTTTAAATGTACACAATCAGACTAAGGATCGTATTATAATCTTAAACTAAGGTTGAGCTAGGAACAAGAAAACTAATTAGTCTGGAGAATCGGACGAGGCAAGTTTTTTATTTTTGTGTAGACCCAAGATTAGGGGGCTGTAGATTTTGTGTACATTTTGTAACGTATTTGGACTGCTTCGGAACTGGTTAAGATGAATAAATAAAAGTGACAACCCCCGCCTATCGTTTCTAGCTTTAGTACACACCAGGCTGCAAACATTTTCAGTTGAAATAATTATCCCATAGGTTCTATACAAACCTTGTATAGATCTAAAATAAAATTCATATCTTTACACCCCCTAATCCAACCTCCCTCCCCAGCCTAATCGCATATGCGTTTTTTACTATTTTGATTTACATACATGTGTATATTTCAGTTTAAATACATCAGACCGCAGTCTGCTTTAATTTTTTACTCAGACATTTTAAAATAGAAAAATAATATCATTTCGATATAAATTGCTGCAGCAGAATTAGTAGTGTTGTCAGATATAGTAGCATTAGCATTGTCAGATAAGGGGTAGCAGCATTGGCAGCTACAGCATAGTAGCATTTTCAGATACAGCAGTTGTAGCATTGTCAACTACAGCAGTTGTAGCATTGTCAGATACAGCAGTTGTAGAATTGTCAGATATGGCAGTAGTACCATTGCCAGATACATTAGTAGCAGCACTGTCAGATACAGCAATAGTGACATTGTCAGATACAGCAGTGGTAGCATTGTCAGATACAGTAGTAGTGACATTGTATGATACAGCAGTAGTAGCATAGTTAGATACAGCAGTAGTAGTATAGTCAGATACAGCAGTAGTGACATTGTCAGATACAGTTGTTGTAGCATTGTCAGATACAGCAGTAGTGACATTGTCAGATACAGTTGTTGTAGCATTGTCAGATACAGCAGTAGTGACATTGTCAGATACAGCAGAAGTGACATTGTCAGATACAGCAGTAGCAGCATGGACAGATACAGCAGTAGTTGCATTGTCAGATACAGCAGTAGTAGAATTATCAGATATAGCAGCAGTAGTATTGTCAGATACAGAAGTAGTGGCCTGGTCACATACAGCACCAGTAGCATTGTCAGATACAACGGTAGTAGCATTGTTAGATATGGCGGTAGCAGCATTGTCAGATTTGGCAGTAGCAGCATTGTCACATGCAGCGTAGTAGGCTAGTGGCATTGTCAGATACAGCAGTAATAGCCTTGTCATGTACATTAGCAGTAGCATTTTCAGATACAGCAGTACTAGCATTGTCAGATACAGCAGTAGTAGCATTGTCAGATACAGCAGTAGTAGCATTGTCAAAAAGACAGTAGAAGTAGCATTGTCAGATACAGCAGTAGTAGAATTATCAAAAAGACAGTAGAAGTAGCATTGTCAGATACAGCAGTAGTAGCATTGTCAAAAAGACAGTAGAAGTAGCATTGTCAGATACAGCAGTAGCAGCATTTGTTAGTGGAATATCATTCGGGATGAGCTTAGTTCCTGTTGGGGACTAAACAACACCCCATTCATTCGGAACCATATATATCACTTTTTTATTTGTAGATATAAATCAGGCCAGAAGAAATTTAAGAATGGAATTTGAGAAGGAAATTAATATTTGAATAAAACCCAAAACGTGTTGCTCAAGAAATTAAAATTTAATATTTATATCTGAGCTGGGATCTTTTAAATGAATGAAACAGTGATGATTTAAATGAGTTGAACTGATTCTTTCATCATGATCCAGCCTTAAAATTTTTGACTAATGACAATCAAGTTTTCTTCTGATAAGATTAGAGTTTATTCTGTTCAGTTAAAGTTGTCAAGCCCTATATGAAATACAAAACTCATTCAATTAATTTTGAATTAAAATGTTTACAATATTAAAATGAAATATGACAAATATTTTGGTGTAAAGGATTTATATATTGTTGATACTGATACTGGAGTAGATGATGCTATAGCTCTATTACAGGAATATTTAAACAAAGCCTTTTCATTTTTACCTAGAAAACTGTATAATAAATTGAAGGCGGCTTTAAATTGTAAAAGAATGTGATTAAAAACATATTTTCTAAAAATATGTTTGAGGTTTTTTTAACACCAAACAACATCAGAGCAAAAACCTTAATGAAACAGTTCATTCATATTTTTCAAATATATTTTAAAGCTTTCTTAAATATTACAGGCTGTTGCAGCAAAGAAAAAGAACCAGGTAAGTTCTCTTATTCTTAAAATTAATTTAATGTTAAGGACGAAACTAAACGTCTTATTTGCTTATAAATGATTCAATCTATTTTTTCTATGTTTTTTGGTAGATAGAACTGTTATGCATTACTGCTGTAAACGGAAACTGTTCTTGCGAGGTAACATTGAAAGAAATATAAAAAAGGCACAATATTTTCTTTAAATTCATTATTAAAAAGTGTAAATAATGTTAATACTAAAAATACCAAGTGACAAAATAAAGCCATTTTTAAACCAATCTGAAATAAAAGAATAAATTTTCTTCAGAAACTTGATATTTAATTAGCTTGGAAACCCAGTTTTGCCTGGAAACTAAACTTTCCCTGTAAAAGTGAACCTAAACGAAGTTTTAAACCAAACTAATGTTTTATTTATTCTTTTGAGGGAAATCAGGCAAGGAGTTCATGAGTTATGATCGGACAAACAAACAATCTGAGATTACTACTTTATTTATAAAGATTAGATAATAGAACATGGATTTTTATGAGATTTGTTTTGTTCTACAAGAAAATCTATTTTAATTGTGCCATTATTTTCTACTATGGGTTTTTATGAATGTCAACATTCTTTTTCATTGATTGATTTGACATACATGTTGTAAAGGATGCTGTCAGGAATATCTGTCGGGTGCTTGATACAGTTAATGTTCATGATGTTCCATTGTATAGAGGTGCCACTCAACCACTAGGTAATACAGTTAATGTTCATGATGTTCCAGTGTATATTGATAGATGAGATCCCCTGAATTTTTTAAAAGAAGAAATGGAAAGTGCCCCTTGACCTACCGCTCCCACCCTTTTGAGGTTTATGACACCCCTAAAATTTGCAGAAGAGTCTGAGAGGGAGGGGACAATTATTGGAATTCTTTAACTATTTCCTCTCCCTACTCGGGAAATATTCTAAAGACACTCCTAAAAAAATCAGCAGTGAATCTCTGAAAATTAATTGACAATTTTGTAATTGATCAGTTGTTCCATATACACATGAGAAACCTTACCACGGAGAGGACGGGTTTAATGATGTAAAGTTTGATACAGAACCAGATATGTCAAGAGTAAAGGTGAACAGTATTTCAAATGCTTTATGAATTTCACAAAGGAAAAAACTAGATCATATTAAAAAGAAATAAGTATTCTAATTTTGGAAGTTTTATAGAAATTTTTCTATACCTTATTCGCCATGAATCTTGAAAATGCCGGAAACAGTTAGGGGGTTTGCGATTAGCTCACTCAGATCTGATTTGGAACGGGGTTAAAAATATGCCAATATTTTAGCATCAAAACAACTTTCTTAAAAACTAATTCCAATACGAAGCAAAACTATTTCAGTCAATTTTCAACATTTCTGTTAATCTCAGTTAAAAAGGATAAATTATACACAAATCATTTATATCCTTGCAATGCATGCTGATAAACGAGACAAACTAGAGTATATATGATAATGCAGGATGAACATGCCTGGAATATGATAAGTGAACTAAGCAAACAATATCCAAACAGGATTACTCTCGTAGCTATTGGTAGGAATTCAATTTTCATACTTTTATAAAGTTTGATACTATGATAAAAACTGATTAAATCATGGCAAATATTTAATTGTAAACTATGTGACAGAATTTAATGTGTTGGAAAGAGGTTGCTAAAGTACCTACTGGCGTTCAACTACTTCTAAAGGTTCACTGGCTTAAATTCTGAATCACCGATTAAAAGTTCAAGATTTTGAGCCACCCTAATTTAAAGACATCTTTTGGAGATATCGCAAGCAATTCCAACCAATCAATTGGCTATAACACAACTTGTAACTTGGTTGAATTTTTTTTTAGTGAACCCGTGGGTACCCCGGGGGTAACATATGCAATTTTTTTTAATTCCACGGGCAACGCTGGGCACTTTAAATATAAAAAATAAACCTTGGCAACGCTTTGTTCTCAAGCTATTTATTAAAATAAAAAAATGTGATATGACAGGTCCTCTCACTAATATTGCTCTGGCAATGAAGTTAGATCCTGGGCTCCCCACTAGACTCAAGGAGATATTCATCATGGGAGGAAATACAGGTTATGATTAATTGTGGGTTTTAAAAAGATTTGCGCTTCAAGACTTTTCTGTAACTTTGAGAAAATTTGTACATGTTTTGAATCTTGTAATTCCATATTTAGAATTATATTGTGTGTTTTTCTATGATATGGGGCAGCCAAAAAAAAAAATGTCAAAGCAATCAAAATACAAACAATGTTATTCGATACATAGAATTGATTTGAATAGAGATCAATTGATTTGAATAGAGATCAGTTGATTTGAATAGAGATCAATCTGCATTTTATTTTATGTTATTTAAAAAAGAGCTCTTTATCATATTAAATTACAAATTGCAAAATGCATAATCATGAAAATGTATGGGTCAAATATTTAATAAGGCAAAATTAATTTGGATAAACAAACACTCACCTAAAATTTCTCTTTACAGAGGGAATAGGAAATGTGACAGCTTCAGCTGAATTTAATTTCTGTGCTGACCCTGAAGCAGCGAGTATAGTTCTCCAGCTGACCAGCTGTCCGACCTATATTGCTGGCTGGGAACTATGCTTTAAGTATACAAAGCTAACCAGGCAGTGGAGAGATCAGGTAGATCCAGGTAGTAGAGATATCAGGTAGTTCCAGGTAGAAGAGATATCAGGTAGATCCAGATAGAAGAAATATCAGGTAGATCCAGGTAGAAGAGAGATCAGGTAGTTCCAGGTAGAAGAGATATAAGGTAGATCCAGGTATTAGAGAGATCAGGTAGATCAAGGTATAAGAGAGATCAGGTAGATCCAGGTAGTAGAGATATAAGGTAGATCCAAGTAGAAGAAATATTAGGTAGATCCAGGTTGTAGAGAGATCTGGTAGATCCAGGTAGTAGAGAGATCAGGTAGAGCAAGGTATAAGAGAGATCAGGTAGATCCAGGTAGAAGAGAGATCAGGTAGATCCAGGTAGTAGAGAGATCAGGTAGATCCAGGAAGTAGAGATATCAGGTAGATTTAGGTAGTAGAAATTTCAGGTAGATCGAGATAGTAGAAATATCAGGTATATCCAGGGCGTAGAGAGATCAGGTAGATCCAGGTAGTAAAGATATTAGGTAGATTCAGGTAGTAGAGATATGAGGTAGATCCAGGTAGAAGATAATTCAGGTAGATTCAGGGCGTAGAGAGATCAGGTAGATTCAGGTAGAAGATAGATAAGATAAATCCAAGTAGTAGAGAGATCAGGTAGATTCAGGATATGAGGTAGATCCAGGCAGGAGAGATCAGGTAGATCCAGGCAATAGAGAGATTATGTAGATCCAGGTAGAAGATATATCAGGTAGATTCAGGTGGTGGAGAGATCAGGTAGTAGAGATATCAGGTAGATTCAGGTAGAGATTAGGTAGATCCAGGTAGTAAAGATATCAGGTAGATCCAGGTAGGAGAGATCAGGTAGATCCATGCAGGAGAGATCAGGTAGATCCAGGTAGTAGAGAAATCAGGTGGTAGAGATATCAGGTAGATTCAAGTAGTAGAGATTAGGTAGATCCAGGTAGTAGAGATTAGGTAGATCCAGGAAGTAGAGATATCAAGTAGATCCAGGTAGTAGAGAGATAAGGTAGATCCAAGTAGTAGAGAGATCATGTAGATCCAGGTAGTAAAGATATCAGGTAGATCCAGGCAGGAGAGATATCAGGTAGATCCAGGCAGATCCAGGAATGTGCAGATTACCCTATAGAAAAATTTATGATATTAGGTGTTGGGAACTATTGATAAACCAGCTGCTGTTCTTGCTCAACAATTGGAAATGGTATTAAATAAAAAACATAGAATGGTGTGTAAATACGTGCGTTAAAATGTCGGTTCAGTCGTTCTAACGTTTATTGGAATAAACAAACAATTAAAAAATCTACAAATAGACAAATACAATGTATTTCTAAATGGCTGACGAGATATTAAGTAAATCTTTTAACAGTGGAATTCTCCACGCATTTTCAGCCGGAGTCGTGTAAATCATGTTTGACTTTACCTGAGACTTGTTTAAGGACAGTTTATCTACATAGGTTTCATTTGCAATATTAGATAAATTTTTACATAATTTTGTTCTTTGGCCATTTTTGCGTAAATCAAACAATAGTCGGATGCTGAGCTTGGGACTTTTACACATAGATTTGCAAAATGACACAAATCGGCTACACAACATTGTTTTTAAGTGAAATTGTTCAGAAATTTGTTCAATAAAATATCTATGAGTTTGTCGTGGCAAACTAAATAAAATACGAATATCATGGTACTCCAAGAAGTATACAATTTTACAGTGTTAACACAAAACAAGTCCCATAAGTTGGAACCATAATTAGGTTTGGTTCAATGATTATCCCTGGGGAGATCATTGGATTATCTGCGATCAACTAGCAATGACGGCAGCTCTCAACCGTTCCAGTATCAAGAAGTCAGTATGAAAAGAAAATTATAAAATAAAATTTTAAATATTTGAAACTAAATAATTTTAGAAGTTCTCCTTATAATGCTCAGGTGGTGATTGGAGATAGTCTAGCAAGAGGTTTGGCAATTTAATTAAAGATTTATTTTCGCTTAGATAAGATTATTATTATTAGAAGAAACCCAACAATACACTTCATTCAGATATTTCAAAATACTTGGTAGAAAGTTAAAACTCTTTTTAACAGACACCTCAAATGTAGGAGCATAGTAAAAAAGTAAAAATCCATTTTAGAAATATTCCTGATTAAAGTAATGATTCAATTGGGAAATACTTCTTATTTATTTATTTTGATTTTGGTTAAAGGAAATGAGTCTTTGCCACAGACTCTGCTTTTCTAAACCCTATATCTTTGGATTCCAATGTCGTAGACCTTAGATACTTTAAACTATGAATTCTTTTAGATAAAATAATAAAAGTTTGAAACATCAAAAATTTACGACATTGGGTTTCAGAGCTATAGGGATTATAAATTCAGAGTTTGTGGCAAAGACTCAATTCCTTTGTTGATTATTTACAGTGAAGTTTTACTTTACCATGGTTTCTAAAATTGGTTCTTGTAAATAATTATATTTTATATTTAGGAATGATGGTTTTAGACCAACGAGTTTTACGATATAAAGCTAACAATGTAATTGTTATTGAGGAGCTTGATGAAGAAGTTGTAAAAGAACAAATGCTCATTGCATTTAATCAATAGAATCATTCACAGAGTGTACAATAATTGAATATATTAAGAAATAAATCCATAGTTTGTGATACATTTTAATAATTATTGATTGAATGCATCCCTCATCTGATCCATAATACACTGTTGATCCAATTCTTCTATTATTATCACATTGTTCCGAGGTTTGGAACTTTCTCTTTGATGTCTTTGATCAAGAACCATCATGCCTGAAATAATAAATGTTTTCACAATGTGTTTTTTTTTATATGAAAGTGTTTCTATTGTTTAACCCTATTCCCGCTGGGGGGGGGTCAATTTGACCCCCCCCTGTAGTTTTTTTTACATAACTCAAAAAGTATAAAACATGGGATTTAGAGGGGGGGGTCAAATTGACCCCCCCCCAGCGTATCCTGGTTTTCAAGTACCCCAGCAGGGATAGGGTTAAAAATTACCTCGTGTAAGATCACCCTTTAACTCTACTTGAGCGAAATGCTGAGAATTCCTGGTAAAATAGAAATTAACAAAGGTTTAGTTTTTTTTTAAAAATGTTGAATGAAAAAAGATTAGTTTACTTTTTAATTGAGTTTCTATTAAGTGCAGCAACCATGGCCAGCTGATCACAGAGAATCCAATTCTCTCCAAAGGGCCAGTCATTGAACCAGATCTAAATAAATCAACAATTTTGACGAAGAAATGTGATTTTTTATGCGGAATCAGCTTGAATGCTTAACATTCTTAAACGTTTTGATACCGATCTAAAAAAAAGAAATTTTATTGCTATTATTTTTAATCTTTACTTCTGCTTGATAGAGCTGGACAGGTTTGTATTATTTTCATTTCTCTCGTTCAAAGTTCGTGAACGGCTCATTTTGTTTTTTTTTCAATCATTCGAAATAATAGATTTTGTTTGTTCTCAAAATTATCTTACATTTTCCAACACTTTGGGTTCAATTCTCACTGAACGATCGTTCAGTAGTATCGTTTGTTCAAAAAAATCTTTTGTTCAGTAATAAAAACAATATTTTTTTTTCAAAAATTTGTTAAAAATAATTTTTTCAGTAAAAAACGATTGTTTAGTTTGTTTAAAAAAATCGTTATAAAAATTATTGTTTTTTAAATCTTTCGGAAAATTCGTTCGTTCAGTAAATTATTTTTTTTAATCTCGTTCAAATGATTTAAAATCTTTTGGTTTTTTTACCATCAAAAAACAATATTTCTCTGAACGGTCCATTTCGTTTGTCCATCGTTCTGTTATTTCTGAACGACACCCTTTTCACGAATTTCGTTTCTTTCAAAATAACGATGCCCTTCTCTACTGCTTGATGCATATTTGTAATTCTAAAATGTTATTTTGCACTAGCTGTACCTCTTCTAGTTTATTAATTAGATCTGCAGCTGGCTTCTTCATACTTCCTAATACCTGAATTCAAAAATATCAAATGAATAAGTAAACATCTAAAAAAAGGAATTTCTCAGTATTATTAGTTACGCCACGGTATCCAGAAAGCATTGGAATTCATGTCGTATTTTGTTTAAAAAATATTGCCAGCATTTCGTAAGTTGAAATTGATACGTCTGCGACATTAAATTAATTATAGAAGAAAGAAGAGGACAAAACTTCCACTGTTTTCTGGTTCTCACTGTAATATTTGTAGAATTTGTGGATTTTACAGCAAAAGCAACAAAGAAAATAAACGATGAACTTTTTTAAAATATAGCTTACCTCACTTCTCCACTTCATATTTATGGAAGTATACTTGAGACAGAGCTCCCAGGATGCAATATATGTTGGACATCTTGTTAACCTTAGCACTATACTTGCTGCTTCAGGATCAGCGTGGAAATTAAACTCAGCTGCTTCAGAAACATTTCCAATGCCCTCTAGAAAAATGGGCATTTTAAACCAATGCTTAGGATCTGGATCCGTAGGACCCGCAACAGTCTGGCTTCCTAGATCATGAATCCTCAAAAATATGCGGATCCACGAATCTGGATCCAAGGGCGAAATAACTTAAATCTGAACTGTAAAAAAAGAGCGATTTTTAAAGTTTTCTGATCTTTAAATGGTTCATCGAGTTTTACCATTAATAAAAAAAATTTTAATTCAAAATTCTTCTTTTGTTCAACAAATTAGTAAATCTTCACGAAATGTTCAATGTTCCTGAAATAGATCTAGATCCATTTTTTCAGGATGGATTCAGGATCCAGATCCGCTTAAAATAAAATGGTACCAAGCACTGTTTATAAACTAGTGTTAAATATAGGATTGCCCTACGTCAAATTAAAGACAGCTTTACTGAATCTATCCAGGCCAATACAGTCGGAAACATTCAAATAACCAAACTAAATTTAACCCTCAGATTGTTATATTTACGAGTTTAAGGCGTCATTAATGTCTAATTCTGTGTGTTTATCCCGTACATAAAAATGGTTACCTATATTTCCTCCCATAATGAACAAGGTTTTGAGCCTAGTTGATAGTTCTGGATCGAACTTCATTGCTAGAGCTATATTTGTGAGAGGACCAATAGCAACCACGTTTATGAGCTGAGGATATTCTTTAGATAAATCACTAATTACTTTCCAAGCAAAATCATCCTGAATAATTTTACCTTGAGTTATGACATATAATTTACAAAGAAAGACAAATTATATATCTTCAGAACTAATTACTATAATAGTTTTTTAGATTATTTTTCTCTTTAAATTATAACTGATATGTTTTCAATGTTTTTTTTTCTTCAGGTTGTCATTCTCATTAATATCACTAAACTCTTTCTCTAAATCTTTAACTAAGACAATAATTTAGATATCTTCTGTTTTTCTAAAACAGTTGAGAAACCATTTAATTAAATAAATCCTACCTGAACCCTTGACATATTAGGTTCATGCTCAAAGGGAACATCATTGAATCCATCATTTCCATGAAACTTGGCCACAGGATCAAAGGATGAAACTAAACACAGATTCCAAGGATGAAACTGAACACAGGGTCAAAGGATTAAACGAAACACATGATCAAAGGATTAAACAAAACCCCCGCTCAAAGGATGAAACTTAACACAGGATCAAAGGATGAAACCAAACCCAAAATCAATGGATGAAACAAAACCCCCGATCAAAGTCTTAAACTCAACACAGGATCAAAGGATGAATCTAATTTGATTTTATTACCTATGGATTCCGTTGCACCCCTGTACACAGGTACATCGTGTACATTAACTGTATCCAACACCCTACATATGTTCTGTACTGCATCCTGAAGAGTAGAAATGTGTTAAAGAAGGTTTGCACAATATTTAAATATACACGGGATTCAAGGGGAAACACATTTTTTTGATGTTCTTTAGTTTCAAGAAAGGAAAATGAGATATTCAAGGGGGACACAATTAGGTTTCTAGATTGGGAATTGACCATTTGCCCTCCTCGCCCCTATTTCCGCCCTAAACTCTGAACAGGCTGTGACTTTTAATGAAAAGTAATTTAAATGAATTTTTTGATAAAAAAAAAAATATTTTTTAATTTATAGGGTAGAGTACAGGGTGGAAAAAATTCCGGTCAGTGAAAAAAAAAATCTAAAAATCTGTGACTAAAGCTACAGATCTAAAAACTATAGTTTTGAAAAGCCCTTGAAAAATACATGTAGAAACATGTGTCATACTTTGATATTTGTTTAAAACAAAAAAAAAATATTTTTTTCTTCATTTTTTTTACCTTTTTTTAGACATTTTTTCCAACCCTCCCTATCACCCAAACCATTAAAATTATTGTTTTTTTTCTTTGTGCTGGCCGTGAAAAATTGGGCTATGAACATGCATTTCAACCCTATTACTATTCTCCAAGTTTTTTCTAAGGGGGGGGGGCGCCGAACGCCCCCCTAGATTCAGACCCCCAGCCCTAGGGTTAAGTCAAATATCCGATTCGTTAAACATTTTCTAGCTGTGATTTAGCTTTGATTTCCCAGGCTATCTAGGCGGGGAAGTCACAGCTAAACTAAACCATAGCTAGAAAATGTTCAACGAATCGGACACATGTTACCACATATCTCAGAATCGGACACATGTTACCACATATCTCAAAATCGGACACATGTTACCACATATCTCAAAAGTTTCGTAATTCTTCTGCTTTGTCTAACTTAAATGTGGTTTCATTATTAAATTCAAAAGTTTCTCAGAAATAATTTTTAAAACTTTTTTAAGTTATTTACATTTGAAGAACAGTTGCCAGCCACAGCTGTTATACAGAGCAGTTTAACCTAAACAAACATTTATTCCTTTACATTACCAGATAGCAGAGATATAATTAAAGTCGTCTTTTTTATTTTGATTTAATGCTTTTAAACTTCTGCCTGTTCGGCGGATAAACAAGCCTACAAGGTTACTCACAAAGGTTAAGACTGCAAAGACGACCAAAAATTCCTTAGATATAATTGCCTAAAAATAATCTATAAATGGGTTAAGAAATGATTTGGTAAATAAAAAAGCTAGTTTTCAAATGCAGGTAGGAAATGATGTAAGAAAACTCCAGAAAGTCGTCTCTGAAGTCTTATACTTTCTGGATAACCTTGTATCAAGGAAATTCTGAAAGTCATAGTTTTATAAATACTAACTATTATTTTAATATTAGAGAGGATTTACGAGGGAATTTACTTTTCCAGGTGTTTTAAAGACGTAAGTAAGGGATGAAATATCATCACAAGCGTAAGCAAGGGATGAAATATCATCACAAGTGTAAGCAAAGGATGAAAAATCATCACAAGCGTAGGCAAGGGATGAAATATCATCACAAACGTAAGCAAGGGATGAAATATCATCACAAGCGTAAGCAAGGGATGAAATATCATCACAAGCGTAAGCAAGGGATGAAATATCATCACGAGCGTAAGCAAGGGATGAAATATCATCAAAAAAGTCGAGAAAAAACGAGGAAAATTCAACTTCCGGAGAAGTGCAGTTTTCTGAAGGAAATTCTCGCTATAAGTAAATATGTAGTTTTATCCCATTCTTTAAGCAACATTACAACCGATTTAACATTTCGATATTAATTTAAAAATATTTATAATTGTGTTGTTGATAATATTAATTTGTATAAATGTTAAAAAAGTTGTATATTTTTGTAAAAACTTGGAAATTTAGCTTTATTCATCTTGTAAATGTGCCAATTTTTCTCATGAAAATGTGCAATTCATCACTTCATTCTCCCTTGGGAGAACAAAAATATATTTACACTGTTCTCTGGGAGGAAAAGTTAAAGAGTAGGGGATGAACAAGGTTAATAATGTTGCTCAGAGATGGGATAAAAGTAAAAAAGGAATATATTTACACTGTTCTCTGTGAGAAAAAGTTAAAGAGTAGGGGGTGATCAAGGTTAATAATGTTGCTCAGAGATGGGATAAAAGTAAAATAGGAATATATTTACACTATTCTCTGGGAGAAAAGGTTAAAGAGTAGGGGGTGATCAAGGTTAATAATGTTGCTCAGAGATGGGATAAAAGTAAAATAGGAATATATTTACACTCTTCTCTGGGAGAAAAGGTTAAAGAGTAGGGGGTGATCAAGGTTAATAATGTTACTCAGAGATGGGATAAAAGTAAAATAGGAATATATTTACACTGTTCTCTGGGAGAAAAGGTTAAAGAGTAGGGGGTGATCAAGGTTAATATTGTTGCTCAGAAATGGGATAAAATTAATTCTCACATTTCTAGTGATCTGAAATAAAAGCAAATGTTTTCTTTACAAAGTCTGTGTTAGGTATAAATACAAAATTTGTATTGTAATTTCCAATAAAAAAAATTTAAATACCTTTCCTGACTTCTTTGCTGCTATCATCTATGTTACCAGAACATAAAAATAAAGCATATAGACTTTAAAACGAAAATTGCATTTTTAAAAATGTTTCAATAAGAAAATAACATCCTCCCCCCCCCTCTCCCACCCCTCGAAAACATTTAAAAAGTACTTCTCTGATACTTTTAATTCAATTTTGGGACCAACATGCAGTAGATGTACAGTGTACACTGTGTACAATTTTAAATCTGGGGAGGGGGGGTTCATGAGTAGGAAATTGGTCTGAACATTTGATTTCTACCTGAAGGATGGCTATTGCGTCATCTACCCCAGTGTCTGTATCAATAATGAATAATTCCTATTAAAGAATATATATATATATTTCTGTCAATAATAATATTGGTCGCAGACTGCCAAAATGTGGTCTAAAGTCTTTTTAAAAATATCTCCATCAATTTTAAAAGTACAAAACAGGCAAACCACATTTTTAAAAATGAAAGAAATAATAAGAGTATATTTCTAATTTTACAAGATTAACGAAGACAATTTAAATTCTCATGTTTATTGACACAAAATGTCAAATGTGGACAGGGATAAGCTTTAAAATTGTGCCTAATGATTTAGCAACAAAAAATCTCTAAATACTCATTATAGCCACTAAATATTAAATATCTCAGTAAAATAAATTATGAAATAAAAAGATTTTACCTCTGTTGAAGACATTTTTAATTTCTAGTATTTTTGAAAACACTTTATTTACTGATTCTGCAGGCACACTATAAAGCTCTGACTGAAATATGAGATTTTTCTAATTCTTTCCTTGATAAGACTGAAATCTGATAAAAAAACATATGATAAGATAAGACAACTAGTTTAAGCAGATGTTACCAAACTTGCTCGGATTCAAGTTTTAGCAAAACTATTAACCCTATTCCTGCTAAGGGGGGCGGGGTTCAATTTGACCCCCCCCCCCTGTAGTTTTTTTTACATAACTCAAAAAGTATTGGTCTGAGGCTGTTGAAATTTTCTGACTTTTCCTACATACCCAAAGCCCTCCCTTTAAGCCTAAACCCGGGCTTTAATACTAACTGCCTGAGTCCTCAGGCACACTGCCTGAATGACTGCTTTTTCCTGTAACAAACTAAATCTTTGTTTTGACCCACTTCCACTTGTCAGATTTTGATAAAATTTAGCTTTTTGGAAAGCCTTTGACATTGACTTGTTTAGGCAGATGTTACCAAACTTGTTCGGATTCAAGTTTTACCAAAAGGAATTTACATTCTGAGTTCTTTCTCCTCTGTTTAAAACTGGAACTTTGCGAAGTTAATACATTTACATTTAATCTGATGAAAATGTGCAACATCACATTTCTTACAATCAAACTTAGCATTATAACTTTATCTTATTACAGTTAAAATTAGTGTAAAACGTGTTCCGTAAACCTCGTGTCTTCTATTTAACCTTAAAAATCTCATACTCAAGAATATTAATATAAAGGGAAAAGAATAACTTAACCTGTCTTAAATGAATAAATATTTAAATATATTTAAAAAAGATAACGGAAGCTAAAGGTATTTAATCTTTGCTACAAACTAAAACTTTTTAATTTTTTGGCTTAATTTGAAAGTTCTTAAAATGAATCAGTTAGAGAGTTAAGGTTCCAGCTGCAAAGCTTTACAGTGTGCATTTATATTTTATAAGTTTATTGAAACTAATCGCTGTAAGCATTTCACAATAGTTTGGTCAAATGAAGAGAAACCGTATAGTATTTAATTTATTAATGGCAAGGTTTTTAAATCTACATTTAATGGGTAAAATACGTGAAAGTGAAGGATTACTAATTCCCAGAAAGGAGCTGTTTAGTGTTTACTCGCCACAAATTCTGATTTTCAAATCAGTTTCAACCCAAAATTTCGTTAATGAGGATCAGAAAGATTTGACGGTTACGAATATGTAGAAAACGTTATTTATTCAAAAAGGTAAATGTTTTATTAAATATGAACTATAGAGAACAATTTATAATATATACATTTAAACAACTACCAACAAAACTGGTAGTTCAGAATTATTCTATATGTTTTGAATTTTGAAATTGTTCAAACAAGACCCATTTCCTTGTCTGCCTGTCTGTACAACTCCTAAAATAGCAAAGAGTGATAACCAAAAAGCTCTGAAATTATTTTTGTCTTAATCCCTCTGTAATTTTGATAAAAAATAAGTTTTGTAATTGTTATAATTTGTAATTAAGATATTTCTGAAAATCTCCTAGGCATATCTTTTGCGATAAATTTAGTTAAAAATATCAATTATTTCAGACTAAATCACAGATAAAATCTTTTAAATGATCTGAGTGAGTGAACGTCAAAGTTTTTTAGCGGAGAGATAAAATCATTTCTCGTCAATCCGAACTTTATTAACGAGAGATTTGTTAATCTCCGTCTTGCTAAAAGTTTCGGACACAGAATGCGAAGAAACTTTCTAAGATAATTTTAAATCCGCCATTCTCCACATCCCCCCCCTCACATAGTATACGTTTACGTACCTGACATGCTGGGAATTCAAATGGAATTTTGAAACCAAGACTCTCCCAGAATTTATCCATACAAGTCTGTAGACCCTATACAAATAAACTCTAGTCAAATCAACGTTATTATTTAAAGAAAACTTAAAACTAATTTTGAAATGTTTTCTTTTAAAATATTGAGCAAAAATTTATTAGGTTTGGATTTTAACCTAACTATATATAATAAAGCTCTCACCCCTATATATATGTTTGAAATAGCTGGCAAAACCAAATTTTTATTTTTATTAGTAATTCGAAATTTTTTAAAGTGTTTTTTTTATTCCACGGTCACTTCACATAGTATGCATATTAGTAGAAAAAATAAAATTTTATAATTCTTGAATCACCAATGATCAATTTATCTTAAATGCAAAAGGTTGCAAATCTATATTAATAGAATCATACCATTGCAGGTTTGTACATGAGGCAGTCTGCGAACCCATAAAGGATATTTTTAATTTCCTTATTCAACAGAGATTTCTGCATCTCAAGGATATCATTTCCAAGCGCATTGGAGACCTAAAAATGGATATTTTTACAAGCTCATAAAAGACCTAAACATGAATATTATACAAAGCTTATTGGAAACCTTAACATAGATAGTATTCAAAGCTCATTGTAGACCTAAACATGTATATTATTACAAGCTCATTATAAAGACCTAAACACGGATATTTTCAAAGCTCATTGTATTTTTAAACATGGATATTATTGCAAGCTCATTAAAGACCTAAACCATGGATATTATTCAAAGCTCATTTGAAACCTAATCATGGATATTAATTCCAAGCTCACCAGAAACCTGAACACGGATATTATTCAAAGCTCATTGTAAACCTAAACATGGATATTATTCAAAACTCATTGTAAAGGCCTAAACATGGATATTATTGAAAACTTTCTCCTACTGACTGAAAAAACTGTTGAAATATTACAAACGACTTTACGTTTAAAAAATGTACACTGTAAAAATGTCTCATTGTATCAAATGAATCTAAAAGTTTTTCTCTACAATATTGCACTTTCACCTCAGCTACTATGTGCAGCCGTGTTCACAAAAATGAAAGGGGATATAAGCTTACTGCGAAAAAATAAGCGCTTTTTATTGGTACTATTCCAACTTCTATCTGTTGCGTCTATAGGGAGAAAATTGTTAAACATAACTCATACTGAAGAACGTATAGCGTCCATACAAATTCAACTCGGATCGTAATAAAATCAATTTAATTCCAAACAAATCTTTCAGATATTACAACCAATAGTCATCGATTATTTTTCGACGCATTCGTATATAGTTGATATTTAATAATATTTTTGATTTTGTTTTTTACAATAATATTTCGCTGGCGCTGGATTTTCGAACATTCCTTTAAAATATGAAAATGTCGTCTTCATTATCAAAAATCCACGTAACATGAATAAATGTTGTCAAAAGCAACTCTCAGATTATAAAAAATACAAAATATTATTAAATATCAACTATATACGAATATGTCGAAAAATTATCAATGATTATTGGTTGTAATATCTGAAAGATTTGTTTGGAATTAAATTGATTATATTACGATCCGAGTTGAATGTTGTAGCTTTCTGAATTTGTATGGATGCTACGTTATTGAGCATCAGTCGTGTTTAACAATTTTCTCCGTATTTACGCAACAGATAAAAAGATTAGTAGCGGTCAAAAGCGCTTATTTTTTGCCATAAGCCTATATACCCCCTTTCATTATTCGCGAACACTCCCTTTAAAAATGTTAAATGCAGATAATTCCTGCAGCTGAAATGTACATGTGATTTTAGTCGAGAAATCATATTATTGAAAATGCCACTTTCAAAATTGTAAACATTGATATCTAATTCATACTTGATCAGACAAAGCTTGTAAAGGTTTCCGTTGAAAAGGAATTGAGTTTTCTTATCCCTATATCTTTGCATTTGATTGTCGGAGACCTTAGATATTTCAAACTTTGAATCATTTTAGATCAAAGGTTTATACCATCAGGTTGAAAAGATATGGCAAGTGTAAAATCATAATTTGTGGTAAAAACTCAGTTCCTTTGGCATGTGTCATCTTAGCATGGAGGGTCACTTGAAATTACGTTTACAGTCCCATTAATCTAATATTATTAATGAAGTATTTTCAATTCAAATTAAACTAACCTTGTTGGCAATAGTGTTCAGTCCCTTTGCTAGTCCAGTGATATTAAATTTAACGTCATCAGATCCAAACTCAACCTGTGCAATTAGATCTTTCACGGAGTTTGGTTGACCGACGAAGGGTTAAACGACTTAAGATCAAACGACCCAGGGTCAAACGACATAGAGTCATCCGACCTAAGGCCAAACGATATAGGGTCAAATGGCAATCGGTCCAAAACGCGACAAAGGGTCAAAATGAAAAAAATTATTTTCTGTATTATTTCAGGGTAAGCTTTTGTTTAAAAATTCTGGGCCGAGCGCTGCGGCTAGAACAGGCTAGGGGGCCGAGCGCTACGGCTACTAGTTCTAATGTCCTTTGACTCTAGGTCGTTTTACCCTATATCGGTTGACCCTATGGTATTTGACCGTAGGTCGTGTGACCTTATGTCGGTGAATCCTTTTCCTGATACAAACTTAACCTATGCAATTAGATCGTTCAGTTTTTCTATCACATTCAAACATAAATAAAGGAATAAGCATTTACCTCAAATGTTTCCATTGCAATTGAGGCATTTCCTTGATTTTTCACAGGTTTCGCTCTAAAAAAGTAAATAAATCTGTTCAGTGCCACAAAAACCTTGGGATATATTGAGCTTTTTTGGTAGAATAAAGTCTATTTTTAAACCACCAAGTTGGGTCTACCTTTAAACGTCAAGAGTAAAAATAAAGATTTTTACTTGAAGTTGCAGAAAAAATAATATATTAAAAAATAAAAAAATAGGTTAAATCGTTAATCAAGCTTTGTTTCATTAGATTGGAATTTTAAAGAAGTTCAAATGATTAGAAAAAACGCTATTGGGGGTTTTTGTTTCTGGATCATTCCGATATGATACAAAAATGCGGGAAATAAATTAATAAATATTTTGAACGGTTTGAGCCCAAAGTGAAACAATTGCCATGTGAGATATTTTCTGAAAATTCTGTGTAAACTCGTAATCCAATATGAACTCTGGACATCATATATTCAATGGATAGTGTTCCCCTATATGAATGTATTACCTGAGAACTACGGTTAGGTCTATAGTTACTCCTGTGAGAGATATGTCTACAGTACTCCAATATGAATGTATTACCTGAGAACTACGGTTAGGTCTACAGTTAATTCTGTAAGAGATATGTATACAGTACTCCAATATGAATGTATTACCTGAGAACTACGGTTAGGTCTATAGTTACTCCTGTAAGGCGATATCTCTACAGTTCCCCTATATCAATGTACTACCTGAGAACTACGGTTAGGTCTACAGTTACTCCTGTAAGAGATATCTCTACAGTTCCCCTATATGAATGTACTACCTGAGAACTACGGTTAGGTCTACGGTTACTCCTGTAAGAGATATCTACAGTTCCCTATATGAATGTATTACCTGAGAACTACAGTTAGGTCTACAGTTACTCCTGTATGATATATCTACAGTTCCCCTATATGAATTTACTACCTGAGAACTACGGTTAGGTCTACAGTTAATCCTGTATGAGATATCTACAGTTCCCCTATGTGAATGTACTACCTGAGAACTACAGTTAGGTCTACAGTTACTCCTGTAAGAGATATTTCTACAGTTCCTTCACTGGTTGGTGCTGGTAATGCACTCATTACTCTCACATTATTCCTAGATTAACGTTATTCTAGATTAACATCATTTCTAAATTGGCATTACTCGTAGACTAACATTATTCCTAGATTAACAATATTCCTAGTTTAACACTGTTCATAACAATTAGAAAAGGCTGATTTATCATACAAATCAGATGGAAAAAATGCATAATGTGACACTTTGGGCGATTAGAATAGGACCAAACCAAGTTCCAATTTTCATGGTTTGTAAATTAAAGGTTATGTTTTTAGGGTTACCCACAATCAAAGGATGAGACCTCATTGACGACTGTACAAAATCTATTCAATCTTTTGTTTGCATAAATAGTTCCACGCTTGTCAGTTAACTTGTTTCTTTATGCCAAATCATCTAATTTTCCGTTAAAATACAATACTTTTAGATACTAAAAATTAAATAATTACAGGTCATCATTAAATGCTCATCCTTATTGTATGTTTCTTACATACAAAGGAACTTATCAATTATAGTTTGTTTTTAATGTGTAGATAGTAGATAGTAGATAGTGGATAGTAGATAGTAGATAGTAGATACTAACAATCTATATTTTCCCGCAGTTCTAGTTGTAGGTAAGCCCAGCTTTATCTTTAATGCACTGTAGGTTAGATCTTCATTTCTAGCTAACTAAAATATTAAGTATTAATGGCCTCAAACTTTAATTTATATATAATATAATATATCTTTGTGACATGATTGTGAAAACCTTTTATATGTGAATGATCTTATAGTGATGTCTTAAAGTTCTTTTTATAACGGCTGCGTTGCAAAAGATAAAAGGATTTTAAAAATTTGAAAAGTAAGGTGTGTAATCAGTTTTCAATTTAAAAAATTTCTCGTAAACATTCTTAATTTTTCCGTTTTTTATAATTCTTTATCTGAAATAAAACAATCTACAGAAAAGTAATGTCTGACTGACAAGGCGGATAAAAAAGACTTTAAATAGTTCCTATACCTGCATATCCAATAATTTGAGTTTACTGAGATCGTACAACCACATTTCACATACAACTACATGTCCTCTAGAATATTTCATATTTATTTTAAATACCACTTTGGAGGAAATACAACAGTTAACATTTCAGATTAACACCCTTTAAATCTTTTTCTGGGCAAAACTAGTTTATATCTTTGTTCTTCTATGTAAAAATTAAAATTGCATTTGCTTTTTTTAGTTACTGGTGGAATTTTGCAGCAGAGAGAGAGTGAAGGAGACTGACAAATAATTTCAAAATAGTTAATAAGACAATATATTCTCATTGTTACTCAGATAAAGTTATTGAAATATTATATTTGTTACTTGAGTAATCCTGGTTTTCTGAAGTCCTCACTCACAGGCAGAAGTTGGAATGGATCCAGTAGTTTAACTATAGGATCATTAGGATCGGCAAGATGTCTACAATTAAAAAAATAATAATTTTTTTTCATGATAAAGTCTAAAAAAAAGGAGAAAAGCACTTACCCAAAAAAATAATGAGTCACTGTATTATCGCTGTTTTTTTTACCTTGTTCTATCTGCATAATCTGTGCATGTATAGCTTATCTGTAACATTTGTAGAGAGTTTACCTTTTCCTATCTGCATAATCTGTATATGTATAGTTTACCTAATCTTATTTGTAACATCTGCAGAGGGTTTACCTTGTCCTATTTGTGCAATCTGTAGAGGGTTTACCTTGTCCTATTTGTACAATCTGTAAAGGGCTTACCCTGTCCTATCTGTATAATCTGTAAAGGGTTTACCCTGTCCTATCTGTATAATCTGTAGAGGGTTTACCCTGTCCTATCTGTATAATTTGTAAATGGTTTATAATCTGTAGAGGGTTTCCCTTGTTCTACCTGTATGATTTGTTAATGGTTTCACTTGTCGTATCTGTATAATCTGTAGAGGTTTTACTTTGTCCTATCCGTAAAATCTGTAGAGGGTTTGCCTTGTTCTATCTGCATAATCGTTGTATAGCTTACCTTGTCCTATCTCCATAACCTTGTATAGCTTACTTTGTCCTATCTGCATAACTGTTTAAAGCTTACCTTGTCCTATCTGTTAAATCTTTAGATTGTATATTTTTTCCTTGCTGTTAAACTGTAGACAGTTTACCTTGTCCTTTCTGTATAATCTTTAGATAGTTCACCTTGTCCTTTGGATAGTTTACCTTGCTACTCCATCGTTAAAAACTTTAGTTATGAATTGTTCTGCCAGGATATCTCTTCTCAAGGTATGTATTCCCCAGCCTCGTGTTGCATTCTCTAGAACACTGTGCCATGCAGGGTCTCTTCATATATTTTTAGGAATTTAATAACTTAGCTTTATTTAATATATTTTTTGTGAAACTGTTATAAACATGTTAAAATCTTTATTAATTAGTGTTCTTTTTAATCTTTTAATATTTTTAATGCAGCGAGATTCTCTCTTCAGTAAAAATGGTTGTCTAGTTTTATTTGAATTACCAAACTTTTACAATATAATAATTTTGTCCAGGATTTTTTAATGCTAACCGGCCAAAGCTATCCATGAACTATGTTCTATAATCCATTAGAATTGGGGAAAATCAGTATTTATTGAGACAAAAAAAATTTTGTCTCGGCAAATATGCAAAATATTTTCATACTTTACTTGTTCCACAAATACAGGAACTCTTTCCATAGGAGTTGGTTTCCTGTCTAGATCACATAGCAGGGTTCCAACTTCCTCTTTTAGCGAAGATTTTACCAAATCAACAATTGTACTCTAGAAATTATTTTGTCTATTACATCACAAGATTTAGTTTTAGAACGTGCTAAAAAGTTTTTAGTCAATTCTATTTTATTGTTTCTTTTTCTCAATTCTTCGGGATGTTTTTTTACAAAGTGTTGCTACAAAGGAATTTTATAGAATGAAAAAATTATATTTTAGACTTAATAACTACAAGAACGTATCATTCAATTTTTTAATTTTGTGTCTTTTTTCTTTATAATGCATCATTTATAAAGATTTAGATCTAATTTAATACCTTACTGAGCTCTATGGCCATTTCTCCGATAACACTGACAACCCCGCCAAGGATGGATCCAATGTTTTTAAAATCAAAGTTTACCTGAGATTAAAACACAGAATTAAAACCTCTTTAGATGCAGGTTCAATATTAGAACAAAGGAATTGAGTTTTTGCCACAAACTCTCATTTTCTTATCTCTATATCTTGGCAACTCTATGTTATAGACCTATAATATTTCAAACTATTAACTCTTTTTGATCAAGTAATCTAAGTTTGAAATGTCAAAGGTTTACTCAATCAGGTTGCAAAGATATATGAATTACAAAATTAGAGTTTGTGACCAAAACTCAATTCCTTTTAAGATTTATGATTTGATCAGGAAAAAGATGATTTTTTTTTGTGTGGGATAGCTTAGCTTGAGCGATTAAACTACACACTGATCAAAATATGGCAAAGTTCCAATCAAAAAAGCAATGAGAGTTTTTCCGATTACTTCTTGTAAATTAAATCTCAGTGTTTTACAGTTTAAAATGAACATGCATAGGGCTACAGGAAAGTAAGTATATTTGGTAAAATCAATGACCTCGAAGTTGCGACACTTTAAAGGGACTGTAAAGGAAAAAATAATTTTTATTTTGCATTTTGCATTTTTAATAGATATAATTAATAATATTATTACATGTAGTCCGTATGGTCCGTATTTCGTCATAATAACTTCAGCCAATGGCAGTGCATTATCGTTGTCACGTGGAATAGACGGATATTACGTGACCAGTATACTCCACTGCCATTGGCTGAAGTACTGGTGACGTACTACGGCCTATACGGATTAAGTCTAATAATATTATCAATTATATCTATAAAAAATGCAAAATAAAAATTAAATAATTATAATAGATGTAGTCGTTTTCAGATTGGTTGCGTAATTGTTGACTATGATCTGTTTAATACTACAACTTTTATACAAAATCTGGCTTATGCCCGTTTTGGTATAATTTTGACACAGTTTTATGTCAATTTCTCGAGACAGGAACATCAGATAGATGCCTTATGGGTATCGTTCAAAACCTGAGACTCTCAGATTGTATCACCCCCTTTCATTTTTCCTTTACAGTCCCTTTAATGTCAACTCATTCTTGAAAATTGATGCGAGACTTTGCCCCGGAAAAATAATCTATCTATCTACGAATTATAGTCACCGTCTAAAGATACAGATTGATTTAGGAAATCAAATCTAAAAAAAAAATGAGGAAAAAGATTTTCATAATTCCTAAATTTAAAATGTTTGTATAATAATACTTACATAATCGTATTCTAAGGGAAGTTGAATGTTTGTTATAACAAGGTTTGATGTTTTATTACAGCCATCAACCACATCCATGCTAACTTCTATCTAAATAGATATATTTAAAGTTAAATAGTTTATAAAAAATATTCTCAATAAAAAAGTCTAAATTAGCTTATAAGGATGACATTTTTTCTTAACAATAGGTTCAATGGTTTTAGTTGTCTATGAGCCTTCACTTTTGATCCTATTTTTACCGGTCAAATGTAAATGTTTCGTAAATCTATTTGGATCATAAGTTCCGAACAGAATTTACTTAGAAAGGTTGCATAAAATAGTGTATGCGTAATTTCATGTACTCGCATATAGAGTGGCATTTCCGATTACTAACCGTACCCTTTGAACCTTTGCCTTTTGATGGCGTTATTCTTCTTTTCTCTTTCATAAAATTTGATATTTTTAACTGTGGTTCTCTACAAAAGTGACTTGAAATTACAGCTACTGTTCCTTTAAAACCAAGACTGAAAGAAAATCCTATTGTCTAAAGATAAATAGCGTTATCATAAAATATCTTTAAATAATCAAAACAAAATTGTTTATTACCTTTTGTTTAGCACTGCCAAGATCCACAGTAAAAGCTTGTTCTCCTCCTGAGTCCATATCCCCCATACCCCACACCCATCCAGTGTACACTGCCTAATTATACAGGGTTACCCACAAAGAATGAGACTTCAGAGACGACTGTTCGGAATTTATAGTGGGTAACCTTGGATAATATATACAGAGGTCGGAACTTTTGAATGAACATGAAAGGAATTTTTGTGAAAAGAAATTAAGTATTCGCCACAAACTCAAATTGTCTATAAATCCCTATTCTTTGCAACCTGAGGGTGTAGACCTTTGCTATTTCAAACTGAGATTATTCAATCTAATAGAATTCATAATTTGAAATAACAAAGTTCTACAGCACCTTGATACATAGATATACTATAGGGATTAGAAAATTAGAGTTTGTGGCAAAAACATGAAATCTCGTTAACTAATAAAAAAAGTTAGTAAAGTTAAACTAAAAGTAAAAAAATAGTTTAATAAATGTTATGCCCAATCTTACCTAAAACTTTATATTTAGGAATTAAAATTAAAATGTTCGTTTTTTAAAAATGGTAGTTTTCAAAACGATCTTTTTGAAAAACGATTGTTATTAAAAACGATCGGTTTTCAAAACGATCGTTTTCATAAAAATCGTCGTTTCGTTAACGACGACCCTTCGTTAACGATCGTTAACATAATTGTCAATAAAATTATTTTTTCCAAAACGATCGTTTTTTCCAAAGAAATCGTTTTTAAAAAAACAATCGTATAAAAAACGGTCGCAAATCGTTTTTTTTAAACGATCGTTTTCAAATATTTAGAACAGCCCTAGTATCCAAATTATAATACCTAATATTTATACTGGCCAATATCTGTTAGATTCCCAATATTTAGAACAGCCCTAGTATCCAAAATACCAAATTATAATACCTTATATTTATACTGGCCAATATCTGTTAGATTCCCAATATTTAAATCAACCCTAGTATCCCAATAATAAAACCTTGTATTTATGATGGTCAATAACAGTTAGATTCCCAATATTTAAAACAGCCCTAGTATCCAAATTATAATACCTTATATTTATACTGGCCAGTAACTGTTAGATTCCCAATATTTAGAACAGCCCTAGTATCCAAATTCTTCAAGGAGTCTCCTCTTTCAAGAACCAGCTCCTCTAACCTGTGATTAAAAAGATAAAAGACATTTTTTGGTTTCAAATGCCCGAACCCTCTCATTTTTTCTTTGTAGGAACTTAATTTTTTTTCTGTCACATGATCATGCCCATGGTGCGTGTTGCTTCCAAATAATTAGTTTGGTAAATTCTAAAAAAGGAAGAAATAACTAAATTTTAATTTCTATTACGCACAAATATTTTTCTGGCCAAAAAATAGAATTTTTAATTTTTCTTCTTGCTTCATTTAATAAAAAATACGTTCATCATTTCATAAATTGAAATTAATTTCTACTAAAAATAGATCAATTTCCATCCCTAGTTTTCTGACTTAACCAACACTTACTTCATATCAGCCAATCCAGCAATAGTAATATTCCACATGTAAAACTCAATCTAAAAACCACAATTTTGACGTTTTATTTTTTAAGATACATATTATTTTTTAACCGAATTTAATTCTTAAAATGTATGAAATAATTTTTTAAATGAATTGAAAGAAAGAAGAAAAATATTACACTTATACCTCATAGCCCAGTAAGCTCGTGTTTACATATACAGGTTGATCCATTAAGGGATCAACGTACAAGGGCTCTAATCCTATTCCATATAGAGCTCGATCCCTAATGGAAATACGTAACTTAAAACTTTAATTTTAAAATATGAAAACGGAATTTTACTTTTCTTTGGATTAAAAAGATTCTAGGAGATGTTTGATAAAAGGCCTAGACTATTCATAAAATGAAATCACATTAATTAACACAAATACCAAATGAAAACAAAGTTTGCATGCCAAATGCTTGTCAAAAACACTATTTTAATATGAATTACTAGACAAGGGATTTTTCACAAATCTTAACATTTTTGGGCTGAGAAACATCTTTTAGCTGTAGGATACTCTTTGTAATCCTAAATTCGTAATTTATGTTTATGTTTCAAAAGATAAACAGTCCCTTTAAAAAACCCTGAGTCCAACCTGTTGACAGCTACAACAATATCCAACCAAGCTTGTCTAATCATTTGCTCCCAAACTTCATCAGGAACCCTACTCTCCTTTAATCCAAGATCAGTACTGAACAAACACAATTAAAATTAATTTGTAAATTTTTGAAAAAATGTTTTAATTAAAGAAATTGATTACTCGCCTTATTAAAGGAATAGGAAAATAAAAGAATAAAATATTTTTTACTTATATACACGTTTAAGCATTTCTTTTACCGTAATTTAACGTTTTGCTTTCTTTCTTCTTATTCTAATCTTTTAACCCTAGTTATTTGCAATTTGATAATAGTGCAAATCTCTGATATTTAAAACATATTAACTATTTGATCTGGTAGAATTCATAGCTTGAAATATAAAAAGTCCACAAAATCAGGTTTCGAATATATGCTGATTAGAAAATGAGTAATCAGAAATCAGTTCTTTTGAACTATTAGCAAGGAAAACCAGTGGTTTTTACAAAGAGGTTGTTAACAACTTACTCGGCCAACTTCCCTGCTCTTCTGCCCAGGATTTGTAATGTAAGACTGGTAATGCACCCAGATTCCATTTCACCATAAACCTAAAATAAGAGAGATAACCCGCCATACTACAGAGCTGAAAACTCTTGTATTGAATACCCCCAGATTGCTAAATATTTGTATCCACTATTGACACTTTTGATGTTCTGTTTACTCTTCTCTTTTGAAAACCAATTGCTGGGGCTGGACCAATGAGAGTTCTTTCATTGATTGCGCGCACAAATCAAAATATGCCAGGCCTCTGGAAATGAAGATGAAATTAAACTTGAGATAAACAAAAAGTGGAAATCAAGCATTGAATTCGATATCCACAATTTTAAAGCTTTCAACTCAGGGCGTATAACACAAGGCATCTTGAACAAATGGTATCTAGTTAAGTACTGCAACAGTTAAACAAATTTCTCAAAATATACCCATTTGTGAACTCATCAAACTGTAGAATTGAAAGATGACAGACATTTAAGCAATCTTATGTTTATTTGTTGTTCTTGTTGAAAAATATGGTAAAATGGAGATACGTTATTTTAAGATAAATTTAAATTGAATCATGATTACCTCTAGCTGGCTATCTGGGGATTCAACTATGCTTCCCAAACTAAGTTAAAACAAACGTGCAATAGAATTTAAGTAAAATTGAAAGTAAGTCAGATACTCATACAAGATAGAAGCTACAGGGTGGAAGTACATTTTCTAACCATAATTTGGTATCTAATGAATTTAAGATCTAATTAATTAACAGTAGTTCAGGATCTAATTAACATGAATTTTGGATCTAATTAACATGAATTTGGGATCTAATTAACATAAATTCAGGATCTAAATAACAGGAATTCAGGATCTAATTACCATGAATTCAGGATCTAATTAACATCATTTCAGGATCTAATTAACAGGAATTCAGGTTCTAATTAGTAGAGATGTCAACGATAGTGTAACGTAACGTAAAATGTACGTTTTTGTACGTACGTTACAATAATGTGTAACGTTTGGATATATTCTATATAACGTGAACGTTAAACGTTAACGTTATAGGAGCTCATACCTAACGTTAACGTTAAACGTTAACTTTAGAGGAATATACCCCCAACGTTAGCGTTTTGTGGAAATGTAACGTTATTTTTCTATTATCTACAACTTGTTTGACCATAACGTAAAGAAATGTTTTGTTTCCAAGGGGAGCTTGAAAGTCTAACGTTTAAAAAATGCATTGTGATTTGATTGAATATCGTAACGAAAGGATTTCTATTTCAAAGTTCAACTTATAAAAAGTGTAACGTTGTATTACTGAAAAATGCATTACTGTTTATGAAAACGTTTTGAAACGTTTTCCCTTATAGTATAATGAAAAATTCAACGTTGCAGAAATGAGTTATTATTTTAATAATCAGGAAACGAAAGTTTTTTTTTACAGAGAATAAATTTCAATAATGTAACGTATAACATTTAAAAAAATGTAATTCTGTAAATCATAATGTTTCATAACTTTTCTCTGAATACTAAATTGATTTGTCTAACGTCTGATGAAAATGTCGTTCATAAAACGTTAGACTATGAGGGCTGAGTTTTAATTTCAAAAGTGTAACAATAATTCTGTCAATCAAAACATTTCAAAACGTCTCTAATATATCAATGTAAGAGATTCGACTGATGATTATAAGAGCTAAGACTTATGGTTTTTCATTTCAAGTTCAAAGAAAATGAGTTTATGCCAAAAACTCTAATTTCCATTTAATATATCTTTGCAACCCAATGTCATAGACCATTAATATTGAAATATACAAGGTTTAAACCATCGGGTTGTAAAGATATAGGGATTAGTAAATTTAAAAAAAAAAATTAAGTGTAAACGAGTTTTTGTAACATGCTAGTAGTGAAAATTCAAATATTATAAATGTTTCTTGGACATCTTGTTTGATGAAACCACTAAAACTCTGGAAAAGGAAGACGACATTAAGAAATTTTACATATGCATTTTCTGTTATAAAGCAAATGATTTACTAATTGTAAAAAAATCAACTTATTAAGTGGAACGGGTCTGTGAACAAACACAATTACTGGGTTTCATATTTATTTGACTACTTGAAATCATAACTTCAGTTGGCATGGTTCATGTTTTAGGTTGAAAAATTTAGAAATGTAGATACTTACTAAAATGCAACAATATTTTATCAATAGGAAAATATGCGTGTTATGCTTTATTCATCAATAGATTTTGAAACTTTAGAATAGAAAAAAACTGATTTTTTAATCGATTTTTTTAAAAGAAAAAATTGTTAAATAATTTTATTTCGCGTTGTTTGTGTTAAAAAAATTAGCACTTGTCTTGCTATATTTGATATTTTAACCCCAAACATGAACTCTGAAAACATTTTCATTGTGGTCTGTAAATTAAAGCTAATGCCGCTTTTTTACTCACTTTGTAAGTAATATAAAAAAACCACAAAAAGAACTAAAAATTTGTCACAAATTATAATTTTCTAATCTCTACATCTTTGCAAGCTGGTGTTGTAGACTTTTGATATTTCCAGCTATGACTTCTGTTAGATAAGAATGTCAAAAGGAATTGAGTTGTTCACAAACTTATATTTCTAATCCCGCTATCTATGCTACCCAATGTTGTAGACCTTAGATATTTTAAACTATGAATTCTGTTAGATAGAAGAAAAGATCAGTCTGCGTTGCGTAAAAAAAGAAAAAATTAACCTTAAACTAATCTAAAATAATTTAGAACCACTGCTCCACATGCAAAAGTGGTTTGCCTTGCCGAATTTTAACTCATTTTATTAAGTGTCCCAAAACATGTCTATTTTTTAAGCTCGTCAAATACACGATGATAATTTCAAGTGATCCTTATTAACATCAATTCGGGATCTAATTAACATCAATTCGGGATCTAATTAACAGGAATTCAGGATCTAATTAACATGAATTCGGAATCTAATTAACATGATGAATTCGGGATCTAACTAACATAAATTCGGGATCAAACAAACTAACATGAATCATGAGTGTAATTAACATAATTCAGGATCTAATTAACAGGAATTCAGGATCTAATAAACATGACCATTGAGATTTTCTAAAATAGAATAAGCTAAACTTTAAAAATCAAATTGTCAAAGAATATTTTAATTGCAGATGAAATGGTGTGACGTGCTATCTCACAGGCATATGTAGGGAATGTACAAAGATTTTAAGTTGTTGGACTCTATTGGTTTATGAAAGGTTGACCTGTTTGGAAAGGCAAAGCACTTCGGTTAAAATAGTTAATTTGGAAAACATCATTCAGAGAATTCCTAGCATGTGGTTTGCAATAATTCAAAATATAATAATTTGTTATTGTCAATTTTTGCTTGGTTTAGTTACATGTCAAAAATTTAGTTTTATGAAAAGTATGTTTTTCCTTGGAACTGTTTTATTCTTAAGAATTGATCTAGACTGCTCGAACGTGTACTGGTCTAGTAAGTCCTGAAATGAAACATAATATAGATTACAACGACCAACATAAAGTAGAAAAAAATTTGATATTATTTGTTCTGCATAGAGTTTTCGTAAAGGTTTAAAAGGGGTAAATGATAAATCATAATTACAATATCATTTCTGATCCAGAAAAAAAGTTGTTCTTCCATATTTTTTTTGTTAAATATTGGATAAAATTAAAATGAAAGCTCATAATTAGGAATTTAGAGAATTTAAAGAATGAATTCAACTTGTAATGGATAAAAAGATGGTTTTCATACTAATGTATTAAAACATCACCTACCATCTCATAATTAGGAATTTAAAGAATTTTTTAAAGAAAATGAATTCAACTTGTAATGGATAAAAAAGATGGTTTTCATACTAATGTATTAAAACATCACCTACCATCTCATAATTAGGAATTTAAAGAATTTTTTAAAGAAAATGAATTCAACTTGTAATGGATAAAAAAGATGGTTTTCATACTAATGTATTAAAACATCACCTACCATCTCATAATTAGGAATTTAAAGAATTTTTTAAAGAAAATGAATTCAACTTGTAATGGATAAAAAAGATGGTTTTCATACTAATGTATTAAAACATCACCTACCATCTCATAATTAGGAATTTAAAGAATTTTTTAAAGAAAATGAATTCAACTTGTAATGGATAAAAAGATGGTTTTCATACTAATGTATTAAAACATCAGCTACCTTTGTGTGGTAATTTTTATATAAATTCTTAAAACTTCCTTCATCATTAGGATCCCAATGCCCAGTGTTATCAAGCTCAACCTTAAAAATTTCAAGATTAATTTACACATTTTTTTCTTTGCACATGTACATAGTTCATAAATTGAAAATATTCATGTTTATTTTCTTCAATTTTTATTGTTAATTAACCTTTTTAAATCCTATCATAAACTCATTTAGTTTCCCATCCTTACATCTGTTAGATCCAACAGTGTCCAGGTTCGACCAAGTAACGAATAATCTACACAAAAATTTACAATATGGAATTATTAAAAATACACAATTTAATGACTTATCTAAAATTACTTAGTCTCAAGAAAATGTTCTAAATCTATTTTTTAAAATTTATAAAATACAGGTGTTCAAACAAACGGTAACTAAAAGTTTAAAACAAGCATCAATATAACTCAAGGTTGACATCAAAAAGCCTAGTCTTAAGCGAGTCTAAATCATAGATAAATAAATAAATATAGATAGCTTATATACGCAAAATCACCAAGAATTGTACAGTCCGCGAACTCATACTTCTAGGGGTCAAAGTGTACTTCAATGATAAGCGGGGTGGTTTGGTGTTTTAATGGATTTCATAATTATTAAAACACTCAGGAGTGAGTTTTATGGAACTATTTGAAGAACAGTTTTTCACTGAGCAATATATCATATTGACGAGAGCTGAAGAAGGATACGAGAAGGACTAAAATTTCTCTCTACAGAACTCATGTACACCACAAGTACTCAATGACATAAGAACAGTCAATGTTCACAACCGACCTTGTTTATCTATAAAATAGGAATATCTTTAAAACATCTTTGTACATTTATATCTTTCAAGATGAAAAATGTCGTCTTATGCGCAATCTATCTTTATCTATGGACATGGTCTAAATCCGTAAGTTAGACCCGGGTCTGATTTGGTGAGTTTTGTCCAACGAGATTATAGTATATAGAGTGATGATGTACGCTAATCCTTTACTAATTGTACAGTGCCCAAATTTAATGAATTTGAGCTGCGTCTTAAATCCGCCAAAAACCGGTTTCAATTGAGCACCGACTTAAATCTTGAAGCGATGAATATGATTTTAAGTGAAACAAACAATATTTGAGCCGCGGCTTAAATTTAAGCCTCGGCTCAAATTCTTTAACTTCAGGCTCAGGCCGCCCATATACTTTCAAAGGTCAACCTGTAAATTATAGTACTCGGGGGTGATTTCTGAAAATATTTATTTTCTTGAAAGGGACTGTAAAGGAAATATTAAAGAGGGTATAGGATGAAACCTGAGAATCTCAGAAGTTGTACTATACATATAAAACATCTATCTGATGTTCCTGTCTCGAGAAATTGATATGAAACTGTGTCCATATTATACGAAAATTCATAAATATGCAATTTTGTATAAAAGTTGTAGTATTAAACAGATCATATTCAACAAATACGCAACAAATCAGAAAACGACGATATCCCACAGAAGCCTGAGAATCTCAGATTTGCTAATTTTATATATATTTTTTTATTTTTTATTTTTATTTGATATAATTTATAATATTATTACATATAGTCCATGTCCGTATTTCGTCACCAGACCTTCATCCAATGGCAGTGCACTGTACTGGTCATGTGATTTTCGTCTGCATGACGTGACAACGATACTGCACTGCCATTGGCTGAAGCTTAGATTGCTTAGATGTCTTATCAGGGTTAAATACACCATTCTGTTGGAACTCATATTCGCTCTAATTATTAAGTTTTTTAATGAGGACGCAGACGCATTATATATCCCAGCTTTCAAAATATAATTAAACCATAATTAAGTTCAACAATCAACATATAATTAAACCATAATTAAGATCAAAATATAATTAAACCATAATTAAGATCAAAATATAATTAAACCATAATTAAGTTCAAAATATAATTAAACCATAATTAAGATCAAATTACCTTAATCCTTTCCCATCTTGAAGTTTAAGAGGTTTCCCTGGATGAACCATAACCTGCCAACTTATACTTCCACAGCTAGATCTCATCTCCTTATTGTTGTGTAGGATAGCTAAATACAAATCCTTATTGTTGTGTAGGATAACTAAATACAAATCCTTATTGTTGTGTAGGATAGCTAAACACAAATTCTTATGTTGTGCGGAATAGCTAAATACAAATCCTTATTGTTGTGTAGGATAGCTAAATACAAATCCTTATCGTTGTGTAGGAGAGCTAAATACAACTCCTATATTGTTGTGCGGGATAGCTAAATACAACTCCTTATTGTTGTGTAGGAGAGCTAAATACAACTCCTATATTGTTGTGTAGGAGATACAAATATTAATCATTTTCTTCTTCTTGTCTAGTCCTTCCGCACCAAGAGAGAGGGCAATATAAGCTTTATGTTATAATTTACTCCCTTATAAAACATTTAAAGATTTATATTTTAGGTTTAGTTTTAAACTTGTTTGTTAAGAAATGGGTTTAAAATATAATTTTTTTTTTTTAAATAAGCTGCAGACTGAAAGATTTTTTGCGAAGATCATCTGTACTTTTAAATTGTTTTCAGATTTATCAAAAAAAAAAATTTTAACCTCAAAATCTTTATATAAAATAAAAATATCCAAAAGTAAAGTTTGATAATAATTAAAACGTTTCACAATTTGTAAGTAAAATTTCTTTTGAACGCCACAAAAGAGACAATTTTGTTCCAAATACGAAATGTCTTGCAAAAAAAATTAAAATTGTTAAACCCAATGTGTACCTCAGAGGCGTGTATTCAGGGGGCCCCCTTGGACCAGTGAAATCTATTGTTTTCAGGTGATTTTCAGGCCCTAACTGGAGCTGAGCCCCCCACCCCCCACTAAAAAACATACAATCTCCACCCACCCCCCTTTTAAACTACTGAATACGCCCCTGGACTGTACCTATATCAACAGCTGCAGGAGCTAGGGTAGAGAATACTGGGAATTGAGAATACTGGTATCCACATCTTGTCCAAACTCTTAATTAACAAGTATTTGTAAAGTAAAGTAAAAATTATTTATTAATGAAATATAACAAAAACATTCAAAAATATTCAGGAGAAAATATTTAAAAACCTCTAAAAGTAGAGGTTGTGGGAATATTTCCTCCCAATTCTAAAAAAAGATAAAAATAGAAATAAAAGGAAAAGGAAAGGAAAGGATAAGGAAAGTTACATATTCATTTTTTACACTATATTTAATATAAATTAGTGGTGGATTCTTTAGTATTTTTCGACGATGAACTAACAACTTTTAGAAACAAAAATTATAGATTTATTTTATTTGTACTGTTAAAAAAGTAATAAAAAAGCTTAATGGAGTGTAAAAGAGATATAGGTTCTATGAAAAACGGGCATTTTTAAGCATGTTTTTAATTCGCGCTGATTTTTGACACCTTTATGTTTGATATATCTTTTACTCTTTTTAATCTTTTTATTCTTTTCTTTGTAAAGTCGTCTTTGGTTTCTTCGATTCTTTTGAAAACATAGCATTAATCAAAACATTTGTTCTGCTTCTTTAACAGGAGTTAGATCTATATCTTGATTTGAATTTAAGTAAGCTAACATATTAAACAATTCAAAAATAAACATTTAAAAAATAACTAGAATCAAGCATGGGTTACAATTTACAATTAAATATTATAAAAGCTAAAACTTTTATAAATGCAAATTATAGGGTGCTTTTTGAATTCTGTAAATTTTGAAAAACTTATATCTCATCTGTTTTAAAACATTTTTTTTATTCTAAAATAGTTACTAATGAATAGACGTTTTATAATCTATAAAATAAAATCCAGGAAATAAAAACATGTAAATCTGCAATTTCTACTTTTTTGTCACTTTATATTTTCACCAAAAATCATGTTTTCTTGAGGGACGGACTAGAAATAATGCTACGATCTTTCTGAAATACAACCTAGGCATGGTCATATAAAGGATTCCCTGATAATTACAACCAGATTAGTCCAGAAATGAGGATGCAGCTATGAAAACCATGCCGGCCTCTCTCGCTCATGTCAAAGTAGCCAAAGAGAAAAGGAGGCCAATTTGAACATTTAATTAAGAAGTATTAATAACGTTTTTGCTATATGATACCAAACGTCCATATGTAAAGACAACCTTAATTGTTTAATAATGATTTAACCTGTGCTGTTCCAGACTTATAAATTACAGAATTAAAAAAACACCTTGTATAAGGTTTAGAAAACTTGATCTGTTAGGGATCGTATAAGTGTGGTTCCTGAGATCTGTCAGGGATCGTGTAAGTTTAGTTCCTGAGATTTGCCAGGGATCGTGTAAGTTTAGTACCTGGGATCTGCCAGGGATCGTGTAAGTTTAGTACCTGGGATCTGCCAGGGATTGTGTAAGTTTAGTTCCTGAGATCTGCCAGGGATCGTGTAAGTTTAGTACCTGGGATCTGCCAGGGATCGTGTAAGTTTAGTACCTGGGATCTGCCAGGGATCGTGTAAGTTTAGTACCTGGGATCTGCCAGGGATCGTGTAAGTTTAATACCTGGGATCTGCCAGGGATCATGTAAGATTAGTTCCTGAGATCTGCCAGGACTCGTGTAAACTTAGTTCCTGAGATCTGCCAGGGATCGTGTAAGTTTAGTTCCTGGAATCGGCCAGGGATCGTGTAAGATTAGTACCTGAGATCTGCCAGGGATTGTGTAAGTTTAGTACCTGGGATCGGCTAGAAATCGTCCACTAAAGTTTTCCACCTGAAGCACAATGCCTCGATCCCCCTATTAAATAGTCAATCTACTGCGCTTAAAAAATTGATGTCTTTTTTAAAATAAAATTATGTAACTTTTGAACAAAAATGGTTAAAAAAAATCATGGTAACCTTTATCAATGAAGAAAAAACATTTACATTGGTTCTAAAGGGTTGAATACTTCAAAAAATCTAGTTTTCTAACTAAATGATATGATATATGGTATAATCATATTAACTTATTTACTAAATGTAAAAAATATTGTATTTTCAAATTTGAATAGAACTCGGATTATTGTTTTGTGTTCAAGATTTATGTAAAATCAGACCAATACAATTTTGATTTTGTGAATATTTTGGTTTAAGTATTTTACCTCCTGTTTTAGAATATCCAAAGCTGGTTTTGAAGCTTTGATCTGCTTTCTTAAGTTATTTCCCTTGTAAAAAAATATTCAATAATAACTATTTATCTCTGTATTACAGGGAGGTCATAGGGATGTAATACATATAGGAGGGAGTATTACATTACCGAGGCTTCCAGTTTATTTATCAAATTTTTGTTGGCTCACGTCACGTGACTCAAGAGATATGCAATTTTTTCAACTTTAAACAAATTTTATGGAGATGTTTCCACTGCCAAACATAATATTGCATTTTAATTTACATAAAAATCAACCTTTTTTAAGTTTAAAAAACTGTAAAATCTGTTTACTTTTGAAACACATATTTTTGAATTCAGAAAATAATGTAACATTTCGCTCCTAGTTTCAGGGTTGCAATGTAAATATCAGGGATAAAAAATTCACCTAAATAGAAGCAAAATTCAATCATTCTTTCAACATTCAACTCGGATCGTAAAAAATTCAATTTAATTCCAAACAAATCATTCAGATATTGCAACCATTAATCATCGATAATTTTTCGACTCATTCGGTAAGTTGATATTTCATGTTATTTTTTTTTATGATCAGGTAGTTACTTTTGAAAACATTTATTCCTGTTTCGAGGATTTTTGATAATGAAGACAACTTTTTCATATTTATCAGGAATGCTCGAAAATTCAGTGCTAGCGAAATATTATGAAATATTAACTATATACGAATGCGTCGAAAAATAATCAATGACTATTGTTTGTAATATCTGAATGATTTGTTTGGAATTTAATTCATTATTTCACGATCCGATTTGAATGTTGCAACTTTCTGAATTTGTATGGACGCTACGTTTTTAACAATGTTATCCTTTAGACGCAACAGATAGAAGTAAGATTAGTAGCGATCAAAAGCGCGCCTATTTCTCGCAGATACCTTCTTTGATTTTTCGCGAACACTCCCTTTAATATTGTCATAACTTTGTTCAAACGTTGGGAAAAAGGATGATAAGCAGAATAAAACTCATTTTTAAAATTTCAAATAAATATTAACTAATTAGTCTCCATTTTCATTAATTTATTTATTAGAAATATATAAAAGTTTAAAGCTAAATATAACAATTTGTCTTACAATTATCATGTTTATTTTGATCCACTGTATGGAAACTGATTTTATACCTTGCCAGGAAGGCCACCAACTTCCTTTATCTCTGACTGCAGCTTTTCCCTTCTCTCCTCATACTTTTCCAGACGAGTCAACACTGGCCTGAAGAATTATAAACAAAACAGTCCCTTTAAGCAAAACTGGCCTGAAGGATTATAAACAAAACAGTCCCTTTAAGCAAAACTGGCCTGAAGGATTATAAACAAAACAGTCCCTTCAAGCAAAAAAAAAGATATTCAGAAACCCATTTTTATTACGATCTTTATAAACATAGATCTTGTTAAAATGAAATAACTAAACATTTGTATTAACTGGAAAAAGTAACAAATACATCCTGCAGTGAGAACCAGAACACTGCGGAATGAAGGTCTTCTTTGTTACCATAATACTTTGGGAATATGCTGCAACTGTTTTATCTCTTCAAATGTTTAGAATACACTTTTAGTTCCGCTGAAAATTTCAAAAATAAAAAAGACTAGAATTCCACTGTGTTCTGGTTTTCACTGTATGACATTTAAAACTGCATATAAATCCCAAGTATTTACCTGACTGCTTTCCCAGAAAAAAATTCAACACCTTTTTTTCCTTAACAGATAAAAATAAGATTCTTAATGTAAACTTTTTTTTAAAGTTGCTAAGTTTCTGTAATATCTTTTAACCAAAAATATCTACATTTTTTCATCTGTCGCTCTTGAAATGTGGACATTTGAAACATAAATCTTTTATTGTAGTTTTGATTCAGTTACTTCAAAAATTAATTCAGAGGGTATATATGTATTGTTTTTAAGAACCTGGCTTGTTCGGAGGCATGAAGGGCATTGGAGGTAAAGGAGGTAAAGATGGAGCAATATTTTCACCTGAATATAAACTTATTATTAGAACAATCACTAAAAAACATGAAGCTAAATCTGAACTCAATTGTTCAATTGAGTTTGGAACTTTTAACTGAACGGAAATTGTTCAGCTGGTTAAAGTAAATCGTGAAGTTTATCTAATTGAATAATTAGTCCAAAAATTGATCAGAGAATTGAAATCAACTGAAACATTTTAACATATACAGACATTGAGAATTCAACTCCAAAATTCAGTAGTTATGTAGCCGAATTCCGGTAAAAGAAATTTAACTATTTAGCTTAACATCAAATAATTCAAAAGTTCCCGGCACTGATTTCCTGTCGAAAAACATACCTGAGTTAATAACTGGGAAGAGAATCAACCCAAGCCAAAAAACAAACATTTTTGCAGTTTGTTTCTCTCCCCCCTGATCAGTTCTAAACTAGATCAACATATGCGAACTTTGCTCATCTATTAAAATATAGGGTGTCCAACGAAACATGACAGTTGACAGACGACTTGAACAGATCGTCTTGAATCCTTGAAATAATAGAAATCTCCGTAGTTTGTACGAACACAAAAAAGAAACAATATTTTGGAAATTACAGGTAATGGTATTATGTGATAAATGTCCAAAGACTTTATTTGTGAAATTAGTTTAATGAATACATGCCGTAAATTATTTCAAGTCGTTTCTCAAGCTGTCATGTTTCTTGGGACACTCTGTATATTCTCTGCTAAATCCGGGGAAATACTTGTTTCAGCCTTATTAATTGATTTATTCATTACATACAGATTATATTAAACGACAATACTCACATTTTTACTCAAGCATTAGTATTATTAATCAATGGAAGTATGAAAATATATCAATATGTGGAAAATTAAAAAAGGATTTAACCTTTTCGAATTGATTAAATGTTTTTCTTTTCAAGGATATCTTAAAGGAATATGAAGTTTGAAGATGAACTATTTCTTCCTTATGTCTAGTGGAGTGTGGTTTACGACCCCCCTCCCATCTGAAAAAAACTTAAATCCATTTTAAATCATTGAAAATTCAGATTGTGCAAACATAGAGTTAACTTCAGTTACGACAATTAGCATACACAAAATTTACAAAGAAATTATTTTTAAGTGAGAATTAGAAAACTCCAGTTATGGCATCTAATAGTCAAATGAACATGAGACATAGCAATTGTGCAGTGTAAACGGACCCAATAAACTTAATTAAGGATTTAATAAGTTACTACTAAAACCTTTTGTAATTGTAACAAAACAAAAACGTTAGTTTAATTTTCATCTATGAGCTTAGACAAAACCCTGTTGTAATAAGTTGCAAATTATTTTTCTTGTATGATCGATCTTGAATCTCTGCAACTAATAACATGTCTCCTCCTTTCCAAGATAATTTAAAGGCTTCTATCACGACTAAAGACCTTGTCCAGCCTAACATTATCTAAGAGTTTTACGGTCGCCTTTGTGGATAATCTTGTAAAACGACCAATACCTAAGACGACATTTCGTTTCTTCTCCACGTTGAAAAATTTCAAAATGAATACAACATTTAGCTAATTTACAAGGAAAACTAACTGTTTCACCAACACTAACACACCCCCCCCCCACTCCATCAACAAAAAATACCGATCTGCTTTGGAGCCTCCCCCACTGCAAACCAGAAGCTCCTCTAGTTTTGATTTTACGCATAAATACTCACATTTATCGTATTATACATATTAAAAATTCAAAACCTTTTTTCTTTTATTAGTCCTTCAATAAGGGGTGTTATGATCAAAAACATTTATGATCTTACTTACTCGCAATTTACTTAGTTTGTCTTTAAATAATCAGCTGGTCGGTTAATCCTACCTGCCTCTGAACCAGAACCTATAGCCGTCGGGTCGACCCATTCCGTTCAGTTCTAAACCAAACAGAAACCATACAGCCATCATACGCGCGAATACAGTTGTAAACAAGCGGTGTAGAGAAAATAGATAAACAAAGGTAATCTGCACAATTCAACTTAAATTTTTTTCAATATTCGTTTTACGAACATTTTGTAGATGACATTGTGTTTCATTACAATTTGAAAATGTTGTACTTTTTGATTGATCTTTTTATTTTTTTCCAAATTTGGGATTACCTTAAGTTGTGGGATGTTTTTCTTCACTTTAAAATGTTGCAAACTTCTTAAAAACTGAAAAACAAGTGCTATGTAGTACACGTTAGGGCTACAAAAAAATGAGGTATAAAAGGCCAAGACGTTGCGACTTAAAAGTTGTCCCAATCTTGAAAATAAAAAAAACTTTTCCTATCTCTGATACCTTTATCTTTTATGTTTTCCTTTATTAATAACAGATAAAGTTTCTTCTAGTATTCTAGTGTAGTTTGCTGCGCCTGAAATACATAGTTATTAATATCACATTAACTGAAAATTGAAAATTTATTCTTTATGGAAACTCTTATCCCCAGAAAGGTTGTAAAATCTGAACCTATGTTTTCTGCCTGAGCTATAGAAAAGGCATCAAAGTTGCAATGCATGTTCATAGCCAGCTTTTTTAGGGATTCCGCGCTCATTTTTGACAATTCTAGACCGCTAACATTTGAGCACTGTCTAAATGTGAAAGAACATTTCCTTATTTTTATTTTATATGATTATAATAGTTTAGAAATGGAAGAGGATATTCTCCTATTGCTAGTCTGGACCCTGCTCCTGATTATCCTGTTCCTCTTGTTCCTCTACACCTTCTCTTCCTCCCTCCAAGAGCTCTGGGGAGCCTTAGTTACTGGAACCTTTGGGAAACCTCAGGTATTTATTAATCAACAACTACAGGGTCAAGTTTCAAGCTTCAAATCGTAAATTTTTATAGTTTTGGGTCGTCTTTACAGTCTCATCCTTTGTGGGTAACCCTGTATGCATGAAGATGATTTTTTCAAACAAGACCAGCTGATATTCGAATCTTGCAGTATTTCTGTTAATTTCTAAAATATATGATCCTGAGCTTGAAGAGGGTTGTGCTCGAAACACCTCAGTACTAATTGTGACACTGGAGTAGAGATGTCAACGTTTTGATTTTTCTAGATTTTAGCTTTCGTTACGATAGTGTTCATCAAAAGTATTAACGTTTGAAACGTTACGTGGCACGTTATGAAATTTTATTGCATAGAGTAACGTTACGTAATGAATTTTCTGCACTTGAATACCTTATACAACGTTAAGCTTTAGTAAATGTTGTGAAAAAACAGTAAGCTCCGTTACGCTTTTGCATTTCCCATATTGAAAAACTTTCCCAACGTTGCGTTAAAGCTTATGTAATGAAACCACAATTTTTTAACGTTCCACTTTTATGCAAGGTAAATATTTTCAGAGACCTTACGTTACACTTTCACTTGGTTTAAGATCTAAAAGATGACAAACGTTTTGCTTTAATAAAACGTCATTCGGGCATAGTTCTGTACATTACATTGCATTTCAGTGGAAAGAATATTTTTTGTTAACGTTACGTTTTATCTTAGCTTTTCCAATATAAACTCTTTTAATTACGTTTAGAAATTTTACTAAAATGCACCTTTTCTTACGTTACGATTTATCGAAACGTTATTGTGAAAACTTTTTTTTTTGTTACACTTTTTTACAACTGACAATCAAAACAGTTAAGGCGTTTCGTTTCTAAGAAAGATTTGAAAAAATGTTCTATACGTTGCGTTGTTCAAGCCTTAATGTTTCTAACGTTAGACTTTATTAAAATAACATTGTTTCTAAATGAAAGCATTGCAAGATTTTTTCCGTGATAATTACATTTTTTAACTCACCCTGTATGTTGCTGTTGTATTGTTAACCTTTTTAGAGAATGTGTAGAAGAATATGCATCATGCAATATAAAGATGTTCTAATATCATTATTTTTAACGATTTTTAAAATTTGTAAATGAAAGTTTTTAGCATAAGACTTTCAACTCAAAGTATGTCTTTAAGGGACTAGAGACGTAATTTTAAGTGACCTTCCATTTATAGAGTGGCATGTTCAGTAGGGGTGATCAATATTGGAATAGAGCCAACTGCCCACCGGAAGTCGCTGCGTTTTCACCGTAAGGCCACACAAAAAAAAATTATTTTTTATTTTCATGTTATACATCATTTTCTTGGAAATTCAATGCTAAATTCAAATCTGAAAAGCGTTTAAAAAAATTGAAAATTGAGTGAGTCAGAGCTTAAAAAACTCATCAAAAACATTCAAAAGTTATAAAACCGGAATTTAGTACCGTTATTTGGCAATAACTTCTTTAGATTTTAATATATTTAAAAATGGTTTTCGAATCTGAATTCAATTTTTAAATATTTTTTTAGGCCTAACGGCGATATCTCCAATATTAAATTGTCAATTCGCAACCCTATGGAAAACACTCCTAAATTTCAAATCATCAATCAGATAAAAGTTTACACGTTATCATTGGGNTAACCCATTTCTGCAACGTTGAATTTTTCATTATACTATAAGGGAAAACGTTTCAAAACGTTTTCATAAACAGTAATGCATTTTTCAGTTATACAACGTTACACTTTTTATAAGTTGAACTTTGAAATAGAAATCCTTTCGTTACGATATTCAATCAAATCACAATTCATTTTTCAAACGTTAGACTTTCAAGCTCCCCTTGGAAATAAAACATTGCTTTACGTTATAGTCAAAAAAGTTGTAGATATTAGAAAAATAACGTTACATTTCCACAAAACGCTAACGTTGGGGGTATATTCCTCTAACGTTAACGTTTAACGTTAACGTTAGGTATGAGCTCCTATAACGTTAACGTTTAACGTTCACTGTTATATAGAATATATCCAAACGTTACACATTATTGTAACGTAACGTACAAAAACGTACATTTTACGTTACGTTACACTATCGTTGACATCTCTACACTGGAGTTGAAAGGCACTGGAGTTTTCAGCTATAAAATAAACTTGAATGATTAGACAAAGATTTAAAGGGTGTACCGTTGTGAATCGTATCGGACATACCACTATATATTTACTTACTTCCTTTCTGCGTTATACTTACTTACGTACTTAGGTTCCTAAATATCAGACAGAAGTTATAAAACTTCTTCGAGAAATCTCAAAAGAATCTACTCCGACAGAAACACAAGATTTCCTTCAGAAGAAAGAAATTGAAATCCGACTGCTGTAAAAATATTGATTCTATATAAAGAGTGAGACCCTTAAAATATTGGAATAGCAAGACGGCATTTAAGAAAGCTTATGGGGTATTGATTTGATGATCCTTAATTAAATACTTTTACCATCCATTGCTTGAAAATCACTACATAATACAGGGTGTCCCAAAAAACATGGGAATTTAGTGACGAATTGGATATCGTCTTTGTTATAATTAGCATTGTAATACCTAATTTCAAAAGCCATAATAATATTATGTCTGCTAGAGTTTATTTTATGAAAAGGGTAAAAGACTGTAAAGATGTGTTTATATGATGTCTCCGCAAGATGCACAGTGAAGACGGACAAGTTTACTCTGTTTGTATACTGCAATTTTCTTGTTTTACTAAGCACACCCTTATGCAGTCTAAACATAAACAAACAAATTGTGAACATAGCAGACGAAACTCTTACAGGTTACAGCTTTCTCAGTAGGTATCACTAAACTAAATCAAAAAATTATTCATAAAGGAGATACCGAATTCGTCACTAAAATCCCATGTTTATTGGGACACTCTGTAGCTCTGTATCATGTTCAGAACTATTTAAATCATAAATAATAGTCATCTTCATATTCCAAACTTTTATTGTATTAAATCTTAGAAACTTGTAAATGCTCTTTGATATGAAATGTATTAAACTATTTCTATGATTTTTTTATCAATGTATGTTACTGTAACAGTTGAAGGAACTGTAATAAATATTTTCTGGATCTTGGGATTTCTAAAATGAGCTTTTACCATTAACTGTCTTTAAATAAATCTAATATCTCATGCTAAATCTGTTGCATAAAACGTGTTGGGGCGACTTTACACTGGGTAGTCCAGACTGGACGGTACGACTGAATGCAAATACAGTACATGTTGTACCGGCTCGGGTCATGCAACTCTTAGAGTGTTGTGGTTTGTTTGTTTTGGAAATTAAGGGCGGCACATTTTTTACATAGAGCTAGGTTAGACATGATGAATAAAGTTAATGGGACAAATATTCCATGCGAAATTGATCCTGGAAAACTTGTCTCGGCGCCAACCTGTTCAGTTCTGCATGTCAAACCTAGCTCTGTATAGCATATCTAGGAAATAAATTTATTTTTTATTCGTTCAATGAAGGTTCCGCCTTAATAATTTCCAAAATTGTTTAATGGTATTATTCTAATAGCTTCAGGAAAGGTTCCGTTGCCATGACTGCGTGAAACTCCTCTGGGTTTCTGCCTCAGAGGCCGGTTTTTCTATAGAAAGTGGACGTGTAGTTCACGTACTTTGGAGGACGATAATTTGGCCGCTAGATGTCTTCCGTGAGTTATTCATGGACGGACAGAGTTACTCACGCCATACGGTATCTGGATCATTAGCCGTGCATTAGCTGTACTGTGGCCATGATTTATTTGAGAAAAGATGGCAGCACTAATCAAAGTAGCTTTCTGATTTCATTTCATAAATTGATTGCAGTGTCTTGTTTTTAAGATCCATTATGAATTTGAAATTACATCAAAGTACAATTTCCTATGTTTGAGATAGTTTGCCGCGTTCAAATCAAATTCGTAATAAGCTTTCCCTTTTTGACGTCGATAGGGGTCGCATATGTATGTGTTTATGGTCGGACAATACTCGGACACTGATAACTCATGAAAGAACGCGTTCGAACAAAACACTATTTCTCCGTACATTTCACGACCAATATAGGAGACGTCAAGTTGTCGACCAATGTAGTTTGTGGAAGGAACGGCCTCAGGTTATTGTGAACGAGTCGAAGGACGACGACATCTAGGGTTCCATCTGTTATTTTGATAAATCTATGTAGAAAACCCTTTAATAAGTGATTTGTGCTTTTATTCAATAGATAATAAGAAAACTATGAGAAAATATTTACGTAAAAACATTCTATAACATTAACATGCATCCTATGAACAACGTGCAATTCACCCCCTTTCATAATCTTATGGGCATTGACTGTTTGCATTTCTGTAGTAAATAATTGGTCTAATTAAGCTCTAAAAATTATAATCTATAACCGTGGGCGGATATTATTTAAACCTGAATATACTGATATCTGATTAATTTTTCATAATTAGTTTCTCAACTTATCAAATAATCAAATAAATTAAAATAAATTATAATGCTTTAAATTTGTCAACATAATATTTTTTTTAAAATTATACTAATGTTTATTTGAGATGATAAACATATAAAATGCCATTTTAAAATTGCATTTGTTTTGTTTTGCACTGAAGCTAATGATTTTAAAATATAGAAGTGTAACACAGTCAATTTTTAATCGAATATAGCAATTCTATTTTACTCCAATCTAGAAACAAGAATCAATCTCAAATTTTCATTTTGCTTGGATCCTTTAGAAAATTTCAAAACTTTAGCTCAATTATTATAATTATCAACAGCTTTTCAAATAATGAAGCTATGCCTGAAAACAATAAGATTAAATCGAAAATTTTAATCCTTTAATAAAAGACAAAGCTGTGCAGTTTCAAGATTATATATTCTATGGAACTGAGTATTGAATCATTTGAAAGATTAAAATAAAAGGATTTGGAAGATATTATTTAATGACAGTTTAAAAAAAAATTGTATTGTAGCAAGGATATGTGCCGGGTTGGAGATGACTAGATTTAAGCTGAAGTTGTGGAATGTTTACATTGGTTGGTGGACGTTAGCTATTTCAAAATTTTAAATTCTGTTAATAAAAAGATATATTTTTGAAATATCATAGGCTAACACCGTCAGGTTGCAAAGATAGAGCGATAAGAAAATTTAGAGTTTGAGCAAAGACTCTATTCCTTTGGGCGTACTAGCCCAACTGGTGAGAGATCTACTTTGGTGTTAATTCTTGAAGATTTGGTTCAATTAACCTTCCCACACCGACACACTGTTAGTTGGGTGTATACTGTATACTATAGATAACACGAGATAATGTATTAAACCAGAACATATTTGTATCCACTCCAGACAGTAATATTTTCTATAAAAGGGACAAGAATAAGTGTTTAACAAATACATAATTTGCTCTAAAATAGCACTACACACTACACAGTAAACTCCGGTTCATTTCAAGTACCGGGCCGACTTTTCATGCAACTATAGCAAGCTGTACAGTACATGTACAGACTATATAAAAGGGACTGTACGCCACAATAGATTTTCAAGAAGAGGAGTTATGATTGAAAACATATAAGATAACAATATTACGAGCAATTTACTTTAGTTTGACGTTATACTGCTTGCAAGTTACAACCGGTGTGCAGCTACAGAAACAAGATCTTTAAAGCTTTGAAATTTTTATATCCAGGGCTACAAAAGTTGTACATATGTAATTTAGATCAAACCAATGTAAGGGTAAAATTCAAATTCTGACTAGATGATGCTCAATGTTTATAACTGTGTGGATATGGGGGATATTATTTCTATTGCCTAACTTTAGTGTGGACTAGTAATAAATTAGTTGTATAAATGAAGTAATCTGTGCAGAAACATAAACAAGTTTGAAATCTTTTCATCTAGAAATAAAAATTAACGTAGAATTGTGCAAATTGGGTAATAGTGGGCGTGTCTGGTGAGTGAGCTTGTGGGTGGAGCAGTTGGAGATAAGAATAATATATCTTCAGAGACAAACTAATCTTGAACAGCTTATTTTAGTTTCTTACAATTAGATAGATGGATGCATCTATGAGGATGTAAGTACAGGGTGTCTCAGAAAAAGGGATGCATCTATGAATATGTAAGTACAAGGTGTCTCAGAAAAAGGGATGTATTTATAAAAATGTAAGTACTCATAAGTGTCTCATAAAAATAAATGCTTTAATGAGAATGTAAGTGCAGGGTGTCCCAGAAAAAGAAATGCAACTATAAATATGTAAGTACAGTGTGTCTCAGAAAAAGGAATGCATCCATGAGAATGTAAGTACAGGGTGTCTCATAAAAATAAATGCAAATATGAGAATGTAAGTTCAGGGTGTCCCAGAAAAGAAATACAACTATAAATATGTAAATACAGGGTGTCTCAGAAAAGGGAATGCATCTATGAGAATGTAAGTACAGGGTGTCTCAGAAAAAGGGATGCATCTATGAGATTGTAAGTAAAGGGTGTCCCAGAACTTTGTGAAAGGGACTTAACACTTTCCTATGCCTATTTAACCTTTATTTGATCCATCCGAATTCATAGTTTTAAATATCACAAATCTACACCGTGATGGTTGCAAAGATATAAAAATTAAAAATTAGAAGAAAAGGGAAGTGACCAGAACTTTAAATCAAATAAAAACTTTGAATTACAATCAAAAGAAAGCTGTATTACTGGAATTTGTAAAAAGTATAACTGGCGAATTTTCTAATTCTCTGATTTTTGTCTCTCTTTCATAAGTACTCCATTCTGTCCTTTCCCATTTACACTTCTTCTCTAAATATAGAGCTAACGTTTCAAAGTTTTCCAGTCTGATTTCAATAACATTTATAATCTCTAGATTAGATTTGTTAAGTCATGGTTACATACTAATCTTATTCTTAGATTTCTTTGTAAAAAGTAAATTGTTTAGCAATCTGATTCTCACAATGATATTATTCATGATAACTCACGCAACCTCTTAATTACATATAATAATCACAAAACTACGACAAATCTTCAGTAAATTCCTTACTTTCTGACTTTGAAAACTTTTTTCTTTCTCTAATAAAAAAGAACATCTAAGTAAGAATTTCGTGTTATTTGCACAAGCGGAGTTTAGTTTTGCAAGAATCTTGCAAAATAAATTGTAAAACAAAGCAGTATTTGTATTCAGGCAGTAATTAATGGGGGGTTGAAGAGAGGGGGGAAGGCTGTCATTATGTCGCTGACAATTAACAAGTCTCCTTCTTAAAAGTCAAGACTCGTTGCAAATGACTTCAAATTGTGGTTGGGGTGTGTTTGCTTCTGTGTGTGTGTGTGAGAGTTAGCAGGGTTAAAGACATTTTTGCCAAGTTTAATCGTAGAGTTGGAGAATAGGATGAAATAAGCATGTACAGTGAGACTCATAAAACTGAAGTATGAGCTCGACATTAAACCAAACTTATTTGTATTTGAAGTTGTTAAAAGCAAAGCTTTAATATCAACTAACCACTACACATTTGGTGTTTTCTTCATCAGGGGTGTTTTTATGTACAATGAAATACAGTGAGAACAAGAATATAAAGACGACATT